ATCAATGCAGCCTCACAAAGTCTCTCACATGTTCTCGTATTATCAGCGACAAGGGTGATCCAGTTGTTTTTTCGAGCCCCCAGTCCCTTGACAACCTAGAAAGCAGCACCCGGCACTATGTGTATGTGGACAACCTCGGCATCCTTTCCCCCCATGAAGCAGTTGTCCACAGCTCGCTGCAGGAACTGGACCAGCACTTCGGAAGCTCCGGCTTGCTGCTTCATCCTGGAGAGGTGAGCGGGGACAAGACTAAAGCGTTGGGTACAATTCTGGATGGAAAGAACCTGTGTTCAAAAATTACACAAGAACGTTTTCACAGGGTTCGTCAAGCTATCCGAGGGTTGCTCCGCAGAGGAAGATCAACTGGTCAGTCACTTGAAGTCTTGATAGGCCACGCAACTTTCTGTGGCCTCAACAACCGTATGTTGCTTGCAGTTTTTCATACATGCTACAAATTTATTCGACGGCATTATTTTGATCCTTCAACTCTTTGGGACAGTGTTCGAAATGAGCTTCGAGCATTTGCAGGTTTGATGATCTTCTTGCGATCTGACTGGTGGAGGCCCTGGAATGACCTGGTTTGCTGCAGTGATGCTAGCACCACAGGTTTTGGGGTTTGCACAAGTTTTTGGAAAAGAGAAGACGTCATGAGTGTTGGTAGGGTCAAAGAACGGTGTCGCTTTAAACGGAGCTCATCACACTCTGCAAGAGAGGCTTCACTAACATCAGCTGGGTTTGTCAGAGATTCAGTGACTGGTCAGTGGAGGGCTGGAGAAATAGACGGCACAGACTATTTGGAGCAGAGTGGTTGGGAGCTTGTTGACAATTTCCCTGAAGTCCCAGCCAGGCTGCTCCACAAAGACCTTTGGGTGCCTCGATTGTGGGGGAAGTGGAGCTTCGAAGAAAGCATCCTGATTCTGGAGGCGCGGGCTGCCGTCAAAGCCTTGCGGCGTGTTGCCATGAGCGTTTTTGGAAACCATGTCCGACAGCTGTTCTTATTTGACAACATGTCTTTGGTTCTAGCGCTCGAGCGCTCTCGGAGTAGGCAGTTTGGGCTTCTGAAACAGATCAGGTTATTCAACTCGTATTGTATTGCGCGTGGTATTCAGCCTTCTTTTAGATGGTTGCCTAGTGAGTTGAACAATGCAGATGAACCTTCTCGTTATGACACTTTAGAAGAGTCAAAGCTCCTCACTGGCCTCATCCGCGATGTCTCCCAAACGCGTGCGAGTGTTGAAGCCGCCGCTGGTCCCACAGAGCCAAAACAGCGGCTCAAAGTGCCGAGTCCTGAAACCTGGAAAGATGAATGCCAGCCAAGTAACCAAAACGAAGATGAGGGCTCTCAAGGCCAATCCTTTGGAGAAAAGGTTCAAACGAACCATCCCTCTTCCCAAAGTAGTAAAGCTGGAAGATGCCCATTTGGACATGAACATCAACATCAACAAGATGGCCAAAACCTCGGGCTCAGTGTCAAGCAGCTCAGACAGCAGCAGCGAGCCAGAGATGAGCGGCACCCGAAAGCGGCGGCTGGCCGGAAGAGCCAAGTACCGCCGCAAACATTACGTGGACCTCTTGATGGAGGGGAAGGGGCCAGGCGACCTCTCCCCCTTGGAGCGAAGAGCAGTCGGCTCAGCCACCGAGAAGATGTACCTGAAAGAACTGCGGAGCTTCTTGGACTCCACCAAACCGGCTGTTTTCAATCCAGACAACCCAGAGCAGGTGGATCAGTGTTTGGTGCAGCACATGAATCAGCAGTTTCTAGATGGGCACCAAGCCTTCAGGGGGGACCGTCTGATTGCCAGCTTTCTACACCATTACCCTCAGTTCAGCAGAGTTGGGGTCAAGCGCATTCCTCGTGCGCTCAGAGCACTTCGGGGATGGCGGAAGCTGTGCCCTGGAAGATCCAGGGTGCCCTATCCTTTGGCTATTTGGACAGGCCTGGCCTCTCTCATGATTGGGATGGGTTTCAGCGATATGGCAATCTTCACCATGATCGCCCTGTCTACATATGCCCGACCATCCGAACTCCTGAAGATGAAGGTCTTCAGCTTGGTGCGGCCAGTGACAGGCTTGACCGCCAGCTGGAGTGTCCTGATTTGCCCAGAAGAACTTGGCGAACCGTCGAAGATTGGCGAGTTCGATGTGAGTGTCCTGTTAGACTCTCCCTATTTGAGCTCCTGGATTTCAAAAGTCCTCCCGGTCTTCAAGGAACAGGACCCGACACAGAACCTCTGGCAATTCAACTACAGTCAGTACCTGTCGGTCTTCAAGAAGTGCGCCAGCCAGCTGGGCCTCGAGGTGACACCGTACCATGCCCGGCACAGTGGCCCGTCAATAGACCGGGTGAAGCATCACCGGTCACAGCTGGAGGTTCAGAAGCGGGGCCAATGGAAGTCCACCAAGAGTGTTCACAGGTACGAAAAGGCAGCCCGACTGGCGCGCAGCTGGGAGCTGGTGAACCAGAAGGCAAAAGATTATTGCCTCAGCTGCGAGTCCGACTTCACGGGCATCGTCTTAGGGCACAAGAAGCCTCCAAGTACAACCTGCCTCGCAGGAATCCCAAGGGCCTCTACATAGCGGACCTGTTTTCTGGCAATGGCGGCGTTTCAGCAGCCTGTGAAAGATTAGGTTTTTGCGCGAAAGAATGGGATATTCGGCATGGACATCAGTGTGATCTCACTAGCAGAAACATATTAAGCGTTTTGAAGCGGGATATTAAAGCTGGTAAGATTTTGGCAGTTATGCTTGCTCCTCCATGCGATTCCTTTTCCGTCGCGCGAGACCGCATCAAAGTCATCCGATCTGCAGCGTCTCCTTGGGGTTTGCCTTTTCATTTATTGACAAGCCATGAACGTTCAGCTATCAAACGGGGAAATGCTTGTTTCAAGTCTTGCAGAGCAATTATTAACCTTCTGGACAGCTATGAGATTCCTTGGATTCTCGAGAACCCTTTTACATCAAAGTGTTGGTATCTGCCCTTTGTTCAGAATTTGGTTACATGTTCCCACACTCATTTGGTCATTGCTGATTTTTGCCAATACAGCAGGCCCTGGCGAAAGCGTACCAAGTTTTTGTGTGGCAATATTTGTTCTGATGATTTGCACCGGCTGAACCATCGGTGCAGTGGGGTGCGAACTTGTGACCGAACAGGCCGCCCTCATTTCCGATTGACAGGAAAAGGGCCTGGCGGCAAGCACTGGACAGCCATTGCTCAAGCATATCCCACTCAACTGTGTGATGCCTTAGCACATGCACTGACTGCGCACCTTCACTATAACCAGATCCATTACTAACTTCATGAGTGGACAACAATTCTGCTTTTGGGGAATTGGCTTTGGAATGTGGAGGAGGTCATACCTTGTGTTTTGTGTTTTGCCTCACTGGTTGGCTGTGAGCGTTTCAGGCTAGCAAAGCTATGACCGGGATAAGGACTCATGAGACACCAGATCCGCTGAAGAAAAGTGAGTGCCATCAGAAGTCTGGTGGTGTTTGCACGAGAAGACTGAGGTGGCATGAGTTTTCTGATTTGACGCTGTTTCCATGTTTTACCATTTGACACCGAAACCGGTGTGAATGAAAAAGCAGAAGACTGAAGAAGTGCCACAGCGAATGGATTGCCCCTTCTTAGGCACCATCAACAGGCACGTCTTAGACTTCGATTTCGCAACATGGGTGCTCAAGCACCCGCCCAGACCCTCCCGGAATGTGGAGGAGGTCATACCTTGTGTTTTGTGTTTTGCCTCACTGGTTGGCTGTGAGCGCTTCAGGCTAGCAAAGCTATGACCGGGATAAGGACTCATGAGACACCAGATCCGCTGAAGAAAAGTGAGTGCCATCAGAAGTCTAGTATATCTATACATTTACAATCTATAAATATAAATACAGGGCGGCTATATCCCTGATATTCAGTAAAGAAAAGTGGTTTGCTTGTGGGTGGGCCGTGGACAGTATGCCAGGCACCTGGCCAACGTATAGGGCATCCCTTGCATTTTGGCAATTCACCTTCCAGGGGTTTGTGCTTGAGAACATGTCGTTGTGAATATCTCTCTCTATCTCTCTCATAGCAGGGAAACACCAAGACGTTGGTATACTGAAATGTGTTCGAAATTGTTAGACTACGTTGTTGGAATACAGTATGTTGGAATACAGTATGTTGGAATATGTCGTGGGAATGTGTTGTTGGAATAGCAGGTTAATTGCATATAATATTTTAGTCATCATCACCTTGGGCGTAGGAATTGCTACGTCCAGGCGTTGGGAGCATCATCCTACTGGATGTGGAGAGTCCTGCTCCTTGCCGATTTGACTTGGTGGAGTGTCTGTCCGTTGAGTCTCAAGGTTGCTGCTTATAGATGATAAGCTTCCAAACAATAAGGGAACATTGCGTGAGCTGAGTGCAAAACTGACTGAACGTGTTTTGTCTCTCCCATTTTTTTTTGTTTGCCAATGCTGGGCTGAATCCCAAGCCACCGATGCCGGCTAAAGGTTGGAAGGATCGCTTTGATGCTGTGCGTAGCTTCAGCATGTTTGTTTTGCAGTTGTGTGGGGCATCGGCACCCTTGGATCATTGATAGGGCAATCATCATGCCAGAAGGTTGTTTCCTCCATGCCACAGGCATTGCAGTTTTCCCCAAGCTTGTGGCAACAAGTTGGAAGCTCAGTTTTTTTCGTACTGTTAAAGGTCTACCCTTGGGAAGCTGAGGAAAGCGGCCGGACGGCGTGGCAGAACAGGGTGGCTCCGACGGATTTACCAGTTGCGAATGGATTCCACAGGTGGAGGTTCTCACTTGTTTGCCAACGCAGCGATCGACAATGCTGGCTGCCCTTGTCTCTTCTGCAGGTGATTCCAGCCCGTGGAAAAACAAGAACGATACAATCAGAATCTGTCAGAGCTAGTGCAGCTGACAACATACCAAAGACACCCCAAGTTCTTATTTTAGAGTCTCTTTAGTCTCTTTGCTTTCACTGTGTCACTACCGCAGAAATCGCGCGCCGGAGCCATGAGATTCTTGCTGGTGTTGGCAGTCCTGCCCATCGTGAATTCTTATCAGTGCAGGGTTGGAGACTCGGAGCGACATGGCCGGGGGTACATCTTAAAGGATTGTAGGGTCCCTGGCCAGGAGTTTGGAACCAAGATCCAGGAAGATCGAGGGAAAGCCTTATTGTAAGCAGTTTCACTCTTCATGAAGAGATGCTCACATTTAACACATGCATAATGAGAAGTTCTTTGTGATATGAATTGTGCTACGGCGCAAATATACCTACATGCCTAATCATTAATCATGCCTACCCGCTCACATGCCAATGCATTTGCAAAAGAGGAAAATGATACATATGATACTTAGACTATAGTCATATACATTGCTATAGTGGCCCACTTTGCATTACAGTCCAATATCTCATTCAACGCGCAATGCCCTGCAGTACGTATTACTGCTACAAGAGGTTGTCATCAGTTGCAGCGAATGGAACTACTCTAACCACACTATGGCGCCTGTTTTTACGGGTAGAGGAACCCAACAAATCGAAATAAATCTAATTATATGTACTGTACATATATATATATACAGGTTCACTTCAACTGGTGTATTGCCGACCCCGCAAGCGAAGCTCTTCCAAAATCAAACCTCGCTATATGCGAGGTGTGTGTGTGTGTGTATCATCTGAACAGATGTAAAACTTCTCATTGGCTTCTCACTAATTTGCAGGGGGTGCCAGGGATGCACACTGGACTGGCACCAACGAAGACGCCAGTGTGTCATCTGTGATATCGATGGGGACGCTCATCGACGTACCCGCTATTTTTCATATCATTTCTGCAATGGGACGTGGCTAACCCAAGACCACCAAGCCGTTATTCAAACAATTGATTTTACATCTGGAATTACCGTTGGTCATTTACGATTATTTAAACTGCATCAGAACCTTCCTCAGTATTTTCGCCGAAACCATGTCGCCGACAGTATCCTTGATTTTCTGGATTATTTCGCCGAAACCATGTCGCCGATGTATTTGGATTATTTTATCAAAACCACGTCGCCGATATATAATTTTTGATGACGATCTTGGACATGGAAATCATTCAGGAGAACTTCTATTATTCGTAGGATGCATCGTTAATTTCGTTGTTTCATATCTAATCTGCATGTTTCAGGATTCAGTTCCTGCCGGATCATATAATGATCCATTCTTGTCTAGTGTGTGTGTGTATGTGCAATGAATGCAGAAATTTGCGCAGGCTCTAGCCCATAGATCCACAAGGCATGCAATTTTAAGTGTTGCACACCATCCTATGCTATAGCGCCACCTTGTGCGCTCTTTCATTGTAGATGTACCGTACCGAACTTTCACGGCACCATTTTTATCACGCGTCATTACCTTGACACCAATGGGATGGGAGAAAGATAAACATATATCATAATTAATAATGATTGAAAATTATTGTCATTATTTTCATTAATTATTTCCATTTTTACTACTATTACTATTGCTATTGTTGCATATGTGTATATATGGTTTGTTTGGATTGTTCAATGATGTTGCGCCATCACCTACCAACATGGCATACCTACAAGGGAAGGTCGTTGACACGTACATGCATTTTGATCTCTCGGTCAGACGCACACCTTGTGTTGCGTCACCGTACATTCCACAGACGTGGATGGACATGGCTAAACAATGCTAAACATGTTTTAGCAAAGGCTACGTTCATCCGCAGCCTGCATCCAAAGTTTGTTTTCAGTCTCCTGCTCCCAGGAGATAGAAAAGCTTGCAACTTTGCTGACAACAGTGGGCGGCAGGCGGCCACAGGTCGGGGGAAGTTGAAAGACCTGGGATGGGAGCTGAGGCAGACATGGAGTGTGCGTGAAGAACGACCACCCGAGCTTCCAAAGTGATTTTTTCAACCAATGTAGCCTGGAAAAGATTGGAAAGGAGAGGGCGTCATCCATTCATCCATCCATCCGTTCATTCATTCATACATTCATACATACATACATTTATACATACATACCTATATACCAGTGACATACCCAGATGGGCACATGCACGCATTTACACATGCGCACCAGTACACTTACACGTGTACACAGGTACACACGCACACATACACATACACATGCATGTGCTACCATTTACACCTGCATGTGTGCCAGCTTTATACCTGTACCCAACAACCATTTGGGATTTACGTTGGTGTAATTGTCTGAATTGGTGACAGGAATCTCTGGCGCCTGAGGTGAGTGTGACTTCTGCTGGCAAGGAGCAAGCAGCTGCGACTTCAACTACTGCCTCTTCTTTGGCATTCCGCTTTCGTTACTAAGCAAAAGCTATGAGAACCGTGCAGCCAGGGCTCAGGCTGTGACTAATTTATGTATAATGTACATACAAATATAAGTAGATCAAGATTCTGTATATAACACACCAGTAGTACCGCACAAGGCGGTGGTAGAGGTTTCAAAGATAGGAACTGTAGGAGAGCTGAGTTGTAGTCATGCATGGATGGCAGAGCGAATTCACTGATGGACCGAAAGGTGGTTGGAGTTGTGCTCTTTGGAGTGGTTGCAGTGGTCACCTCACCCACAACTGCTGGATGTAGTGTGGTCTAGTGTAGTTGTAGTTGTAGTGTAGTTGTAGTGCAGTGTAATGTAATCAGTGTAGAGAGGCGCAGTGTAGTGTAGTGTCGTGTAGGCGTAGTGAGCTGTAGTGTAGTTGCAGTTGTAGTCACAAAAGGTAGTGTCAGCTACCTGAGTTCTCCGTCCTTCAGCACGATCATTGGGGGTATTGGGGGAGTTAGCCCAGCCCAAATCAAGAACATTAGTAAATTAGGGGTTTTAAAGTAGATTTCAACTATAAGGGCGAACCCTCCCCTGAAATGGTCACACAACCCTGCCTAACCCGATTTTTGCTTTTTCATACCCCGAAGAGCTATGCTTCCAAACCTCGTGTTGCGGCATAGTCTAACCACAAAGGCGTTCTGACGGCATATATATATATACACATGCATACATACATTACATACATACATTACATACATACATTAAATGACATTACATGACGTTACATGACATTTCATGACATTACATGACATTACATTACATTACATACAGACATACACAGACATACACAGACATACACGGACATACACAGACATACACAGACATACACAGACATACACAGACATACACAGACATGCACAGACATTCCATTACATTACATTACATTACATTACATACAGACATACACAGACATACACAGACATACACGGACATACACGGACATACACGGACATACACAGACATACACAGACATACACAGACATACACAGACATACACAGACATACACAGACATACACAGACATACACAGACATACACAGACATACACAGACATACACAGACATACATATACACAGACATACACAGACATACACAGACATACACAGACATACACAGACATACACAGACATACAGTACATTATACACAGACATACACAGACATACACAGACATACACAGACATACACAGACATACACAGACATACACAGACATACACAGACATACACAGACATACACAGACATACACAGACATACACAGACATACACAGACATACACAGACATACACAGACATACACAGACATACATTATACACAGACATACACAGACATACACAGACATACACAGACATACACAGACATACACAGACATACACAGACATACACAGACATACACAGACATACACAGACATGCACAGACATATACATGCATATACATGCATACGTACGTACATACATACATACAGACAGGCATACAGACATACAGAAATACAGAGACATACGCCTGCTGCTTCGGTTGGGTATTGTGACGAGTTCCACTTGTCCAGTGTGCATGGCAAATGGTACACTTTATAGCACTTTTCTATACTTTTCTTGTTGATTCGATGGCAGCGCACTGCCACGGCCACAGTTCTCCATTTTCTGCTTGGTGATCTTTGTAGAAATTGACGTAGCACCACCCCCCTTGCGGTGTAAAAACCAGGCACGGCGCGCCGCTGGCCTCAAGCGGCATGCCTTCGTCTTCTGGGTTCCGGTTTGGATTGTAATTTTGAATGAGATCCCAGCCGACGATAATCAGAAGGAAAAGCAGCAAAAATGAGCATATAAATCAAAAACCAGTTGCAACGTACCAGGGCTTAACCAGTTGAGTACCAAGCAAAAGGTAAATAGTAAAATGAGACCCAATTGCACTGTACCAGGCCAAAACCAGTTATATAAGTACACAGCAAAAGGAACATTGTAAATATAAGAGCTTCCGCCCGGTGCAGCTCAAAGAAAATTGTTGTATTGAACCTCGGTTGTCGGCCACCGCAGAGCCAGATAATCAAAAAGAAAACCCCGGTTGTCGGCTACCGCAGAGCCAGTGAATAATGCACCATTGTCGGCCACCGCAGAGCCAGAAAGATCCAATGCAACTCGAAGAACTAGATGGTCCAGAAAGAAAGACAAAATTGGGGACAAACCAATACCCAATGTACAGTGAAGTTCCCAGGCGCAAGTAACACAAGGTCAGTCCTGTTGCCACACGATACAGGATATAGGACCCGTGGGCAATCAGCGCGGAAGCCCACTTAGGCGATGGCCAATAAGCCTCTCACCGAAAAACGATGGGGGGAGTTTTGGGCCAAAGCCTTTTAACGTGTATATATACGTATATATATATAATATTTGTACGCATGTTCATTGCAGGTGCTCCCACCAATTTTTTGTTTCACATTTTTTTCTCAAGATTTGCGCTGTTTCTCAAGGGACGCAGGTAGTGGTCTGATGGGGGAACCAAACGAAAATCAAACATGCCTGGGTAATGTCAACCGCGCAGCATTTCCCCGCAGTGACAGTTCGATTAAAGGCTTAAAAACAGCTTAGGGGTTACCATGGTTACCAATCCGGCTCTTTGAGCTGACCATTGTGCAAAGGTCAGGCATTTGTGCCCCCTACCATCTCCCACCACAATGGCCAGAAAAGGTGTATTCCCTTGTGGATCCCTGTGGCCAGCACTCCACCATGCTCAGGCTCTTTTGCTGTTTCGTGTGCTGCGCTTGTGCCTTGGAAAGGACTTGCATCAATCAATCGAAGGTTTGGGCTCTTGAAAATCCATGAAGATCTACACTAGCTGCAAGATGGTGGCCATCTCCATACATCCCCACCTTTTTCCCCTGGGCCCAGGTTTCTGTCAATTTTTGACAGCATTAACGGGAGGAGCCGCGGCAGGCGTCGGAGCTGTTGGTGCGGGAGCTCCGCTCGCAGCTGGTGCTGGCGTCTTGGCAGCTGGAATGATGCAGATGTCCAGCCAAGGAGCGCAGCTGGGTCCCAAAAGCTTGGGGAGAAAATGTGGAAAAAACTATGAAAAACTGTAGGTCACTGTAGGTTGGCATAGGTTGACCAAAAATCTCAGCAGGAGGGATTCCTCCGCTTTTGGAAATGGCATCACCCCAGGAGGGGCCAGAACGCCCACCTGCACTGCTCAACCTGTTCCAAAGCAAGCAGCGCAGCCCTCGATATACCAGCAGCCTGCGGCATTTCAACAACCACCTGCGCCTGCCTCAAGATTCGTTGGGGGTGGTCGTGGCATTGGCTTTGTTGTATAGCATACGTGCAATCCATATTGAATCAACAAGTAGATTGAAACTCCTTCTGACCACCGGAAACTTCACTTGTCCACAATTTGGTGCCATTTTTCCTACCGCAGTCCATTTGCACGTGATTTGTTAAGAGACATGACCAGGTGCCAGCAACAGCCGCACCAGCCGCACCAGCCGCGCCACCTCCGCCACTCGGCTACAGTGGGGGGTGTAGCACTGGGATGTTTGTCACATTTTGTCACCTGAGGCAGCGAGTTGACCCCTATGCTGGAGCATCGGCGCCACAGCAGGCGTGGTTTGGAGCTGGTTTGGAGCTGTGAAGGTAGTGGCAATTAGTGGCACCAGAAAAAATTCGTTGCACGACCATGTTATCCATGTTGGTGTAGTAACATAACATAACATAACATAACTACATTTTTGTGCCATGTCTCGGGAAGGGCGTGGCCTTAGTGCACCAAACAGGAAGCAGCCCATACGTAGACGTAGCAGTTGCAGCTCGCCTATCGGTTGCTTTCACATCGAAGACCTAGAAGCTTCATGTAGCACATGTAGTTTTGTGCCTCCGCCGTTGTTCCTCGGCAGCTTTCACAAGCTTGAAAGTCTTACGTTACTTGCAGCAAATTTGAACATGGTTCTATAAATAAGTGCTGGGTCACATGTAGAAACACGGGAACTTGGTCATAGATCAGAGCGCCCGTCCGAAGCCCACACTGGTCTGTTTCTGGCCATAATATTTTTAAACTAAAGAAAGAACCCTGAAAGATTCAGATCTACTTTTGCCTTGCTACAAGAGCGCAGAAGCACACTATTTATCATAATTTGTCACATATTTCACCCGGTTCTTTGTGATGCCCGCTGCCACTTGTCACTACGGGTGCCTGGTGAATGTACCGGACGGTGCATCGCCCACGGGTGGCGATTCGAGCGAAGCCTTCGACCCAAGCAGAAATCGTTCACGTCCTGGCCGCGGGCGAAATCTTCCGAGCAACTCAACGGTGGAGAGAAGTTGGCTGAAGAAGTTGGCGGTTTCTAAAAATGACATTTTTACACAGATAAAAACTACCAGTTGGTGTTTTTTGGGGTTGGGGCAGAAGAACACTTGCAGCACCGTGGTGGGTCACACGAAGACACCTTCATTGAAGGGGGAAGCATCGACTGCAGCTCATGGGAATCCACAACTGGGTGTGCCTTATATAGGAATGGTCAGGCCAAACAACATACGAAAAAAACAAGTAGAACATAGTAGAACTCAATTTGAATCTGATTCTTGGGCAGCCTTATTTTCAGCCTCCGAGGCAGCACCGGATGTAGTGGGCTGGCTGCGCTTGGCAGAGGACGAGGCTTGGGCTCGGGCCATTCCCAGTGGCTTCGTGTTGATCGACGGCGCCGCCCTGGGTGCCGTGGCAGAGCCGGTGTGGCAATTTATGTGGCCATTTGCTGCAACGTACAGTTTAGACAACACAAAATTCACGTGAGGGTTTTGCTTTTTGACCATTGCTCGCCTTCAAATTTACGTGAAGGTTTTGCTTTTTGAACAATTCTTAGCCTGCACCTGAGTGGGAGAATGGAAGTTTGGGCTAACAAAAACATCAAAAACTTGTACCAAGGATTGGGAAAACTCATCGAAAAGGAGCAAGACGATGAGGCGCGGCCGTGACATGCTGTGAAGATCTGTGAACTTCGGCAGAGCTCGGCCAGGAGCTGTGGCCGTTTACGCCAGCTCTACGCCGTGCTGCTGCTCTGGGTGTTCCATTCCAGCAGGTCGCCTTCGGAGCACCTTTTGGTGTACGGAAGATATGAGAAGATATGAGAAGATGCTACTGCTTTGCAGCCTCATGAAGCAGGTGTAAATATCTTATTGTTTTTAAACAACATAATGTTATGTTTCTGCGTCTCTTATTCAATTTCGCTGCGTCGCATGTTGCATCATGTTGCATCTTCTTAATCCTGTTACACCCTTGCAAATAACATACACATCGAAAGACGAGAAAACCCTCTGTTAACATGGCACCTGCGGTCAGGGGTTTTATCTTAACATGGAAAACATATACCCCGTGAATTTTCTATTTGCTTCTATGTTAAGATTTGAGGTTCACATGTTGGGAAAGTCAACTGGTTTGCCCCAATGTCCCAAAAAATGAACGATCTCCATTCAAAATAATTCAATTTCAAAAGGGAGTTCCTACTTAAAAATTGATTCTCTGGATCTCAGAAAGGCGCCACCCTTGAACCTGTCCCCTGCAGGAATTGCGATCAAGTATGGTACCCAATTTTCTGGAGAAATATGATCATTCAAAATGGATCAACGCTCCTGCTAAAAAAAAAAAATCTTTTCTGGGTCTCAGAGAGGGGACCCCCCTTTGAACCACAGTTTTGTGCCAAAAAAATGGAGGAACCACAATTTGGGAGAAGAACCGGGGAAACCCAAGCCTTCTATTTCAGCAAGGACGCCCTTGTGTAAAAGTTATGGTTTTTGTTCTCATAAAGGGCAAGTCCTCTTCCGGAATTTCCATTCACCCTGCATGGAGATTTTGGAAGAACCACCATTTTCACCCAAAACCGTGTATATAAATACCGCGTAAAAGTGCCAAGTTCCATGTTAATCTCTGAAATTGCCAAAATCGTGATTTTTGAGGTTAGCCTGGACCATCCCGCACCAGAAACACCCCCCAATTTTATCCTGGGCCAAAAATAGTTTTTTTTTTTTTTAAAAAAATGTCTATGTTATTTTGCCAGGGAGTACATCTTTTTTCTTGGCTGCTTATGCTAAATGATGGTTAGTTACATTGCCTCACAATGTCTCACACCGCAGGGGCATCTTCGACCGCCGGATGCCAAGAAAGTGGAGGAGAGCTGGTTGAGCTTCTGGCACCCACCCTCCGAGAGCGCCGAGCCGGTGTGGTGGTTGAAGGATCGGAAGGATCAGAAGGATCCAGGCCAGGAATGAGGTTACAACGGTTGCACTGCGATGCCCCGGGGGGGGTAGGATCTGCACCGAGGCATGAAACTGAACATGAACGGAGCCGGGAGGTTGATCAAACCTCGTACAATCGAAACCACGTCAAAGTCCCGCTCCAGTACGAGTCAAGCGCAATACTGTTTTACCAGATGTTAACTATGTTTAGTCATGTTTCACCATCCAGACTTCCAACCATATCCAACTACTACAACTATATCAAGCAAGCACCCCAAAAAGTTTCACTTAAACCACCTCTGGGACAAGTTTGGTTCCATTTCAAAAGTTGGTTCCACATAGGTATGCGAGCTGCTTCAGGTGGCCAACTGCCGTGCAAAGCTCCCACAATGCCGAAGCTGGCTGTTGCGACACTGCTGCGTGGTGTCCCTGCTGCTGTGGTTCAAAGCTTTGTGATGCTTGGTAGCAGGCCTCCATGAGGAAATAGAACCCGGTTGACGCGGTTGAGGGAACCATATCCAGAAGTATAGTCAAGTATGATGAAGTATCATGAGCTGTTGATGCTAATTGGTGTGCATAGGGTTGCCATCCTTTGGGCATGGTTTCTACCTGAGGACCTACCACTATCGCATCGGTTTCGACTTGGTGATTCTCTTTTTCGATGCGCCAGATGACCCTGATGAGCTTCATCCTCAGGAATGAAAACAGAATGAAATGAAAGTAGTTCAGATGTTGTCACGTATCTAGTTCTCGGAGTTTTTGCTACTAAAGGCATGTAATCAGATGTAATCATGTAAAGACAATGCAAAGACGTTTTATTCCACTTAAACGCGTCGACCGCACTGACTGACATTCTGCCCTAGTGCTTGATTCTGCAATATTCTGTGCCAGTCCAGGTTGCAAGCGATTGAGGTTGCTGAAATGTTACCAGGCAGGGCGCAAGTCAAGCCTCCAAAATTGTGTGCTTTGCTGAGTGGCTGGAAAGTTGGTACAAGACATAGGGCGCAAAAAAAAGGTCCAAGATGCATTGTGATTGTTGTGATTCCCTTGGAGGATGTGTTTTTTCCTCTTGCAGCCCGGGGGTTTTCCTGAAACTTTGCAAGATTTGTAGGTTTTGAACCTATGGTAGGTCTTCAGAGGAGAAAGAAAATAGCAGAAACATGGCCATGTACCTCCTAAATGGGTCAAAACGTATGGTTGTATAATCTTCACGTGAATGTGGACAATTGCTCAATCAGACTGGCTATGGTGCAGGTGTCCGCGTGCGGCGCTGCACCAACGCCTGGTGGATGGAGACGCTGCGTGGATCGCGATTCCAGCAGCGTCGGCAGAAGGGCGGCATCTATGCGGAGACCATGGAGTCGCGTCGCGAAAATCTCAGCTGGATATGATGCAAAATGTATCATGACTACATCATATATCATCACAATATGTGTATACATTGGTGGATGTATCAACATGACTCATGACTACACTACAGCATATTGTGTATATAATTACGGATGCAAGCTGGATAGGTAGTGGCAGATATGTGCATGGATGTTGCAGGCTATAATGAGCAGCTACATTTGTGTGCATGTGTGACTCATGATTTGAATCTGAAGCTGTGCATGGGGAAGTGAGGGAGGTGACTGTGAGATTGGATGAGTTGCGTTGACAGGACTTTCACTTTATTCTGATTCTTTATAAGACTTTCCGCCATCCCTGCCCAAGTCCCTCCCCGGTATCCGGAGGGAGACTGCTCGAGGCTATGGGAATTGCGAGATGTTCAAAGTCGGCAATGCCTTGTGATTGAGACTGCCCTGGACGAAGCCCAGAAGCAAGGTTGCGTGCCTCACCTGCAGTATGGAGTCCATTATGATATATGAAGCAACATGGAAACAGCATGAAGCAACCACAGGCAGTCATTGAATCTCAAGACTCCTTGACATTCAGATGGTTAAGATGATTCGCGTTGAGAGCTGCACTGTTCAGATTGCAAGGAGTGGTTGCTGCATATTGATGCGGACGAGGCCCTTTTGGTGCCCAAGCATTCAGATGCGCGGAGCTTCTTTGCAGAGTTGCTTAGCTGAATGATCATCACTGGTAGGATCGTATGTCAAGACAGATGGTCGCGATGATGGCTGTGTCGATGTGCTTGAGAGACAATTAGCAGTTAGCATGAACTAGCCCAGGTGCTAAGAAGTGCCCAGTCCATGAGGCTGTCCATGAATGAACATCCACCAGTTTGCAGAAATCATGTCTGGAGGTTGCCCCCTGAGCTGGACCAAGTGGTGTTCAACAATCTGGAGGCCGTGCCCGAGTCGCTGGAAGTGGTGAATTGCTTTGAAGAGGTGTCACTCTTCAAGGTACATCAGACTCTCAGCTCACATTGGCCTCTTTGATCCTTTTTGTTTTTTTGGGGTCTACTGCCATGTTTTGTTGTAGTTCCCCGTTCTCCCTAAGAGAATGCAAAAAAAAAACACAGTTGGGGAATGTCGGGGAAATCTTTGGAATGAGCTTTGGTATGTGGACCTGAAGCAACTAAGCAACTGGTCTCCAATGTCTCCAAGGAACTTTCTGAAAGAGTCGGCGTCCGAAAAGCCCCACGGCGAACGATACCTCGAGAAGTTGCAGCGATGGCGACAGCGACAGATTGCCAAAGGTTCGGATCCGGAAGACGTCCGCAGCAATCGGAGCTTCGATATGGCCATTCTGCCGGTGAGGCACATGCTGAGTGGATACAAGTTACAAGGGATATCAAGGAATATCAAGGGATTAAAGCTGTTGGATTTTGTTAGAGTGGTAGATGTGGTAGCGAGTAAAGATGGATTTGTTCAAAAAATAGGGCCTCCCAAAATCCAGTAACTCCAGTGGTGAGAGTCATCATTTTCTCGAGAAACCCATGTTCAGTATTGTTCAGTTAAGTAAGCCCCAATTTTCTATGCTTAAGTCCCATGTGTGCTCATGAAAAATCCCCATATTTGTTGATCATGGCACCTCAACTTGTGAAGGTTGGCGCGGCGGAAAGTAGTGCAAGAGCTGCAACTGGAGCTGCCGGCACTGGATGCTGATGACCAGGAGCCATTTGACTCAGACGAGGAGCTGGAAGAAATTGGAGCTGGAAGCGGAGAGTTGGCAGATGTGATCAGATGTGAGTTCATGAGGGCTGTGGCGGAACATTCAAAATCTGGAACGCGTACTGTAGACCATCTGAGAATGTCCAATTCCAATTCAATATAGCCCCTTGAGATGTTTTGAGACAATGTTGGAACGGCTTGGTTTGTATTATTGTCCTTTGAGGAGCCGCCAGGGAAGCGCTGGCAGCATGAAGATCTTCCATGTTTCTTCACCGCCTATGGCAATGGCAAGGCTTGCCGTTGAGCCCTTGAGGCAGAAGAGATGAGGTAACAATAGGGGAAAAAAAGCTGACTCTGACTCTGTTGGCATCTCTTGCCACGCTATTTCCGAAAGCAGATACAAGCTAGACAAAGCTGGAAATAGTGATGAAATGATCATTGAATCATTGATTCATTGAATCATGAGTGAGAAAAAAAAAGTGACGTTTGCCGTTTGCCATGTTTTTTGCTGGTGTGCTGATTTCCAGGCCGCATGCCGGCTGAAGCAGCCCTTACCGCTGCCGGTTGGGGTGCATCGCTTCGCCTCCGATGCGAACGCCAGGCTGAGGAGCATGCGCTGCAGCCAGGCGGCTGCGCCGGTGGTGCTGCACTATGCCAACTGCGGTGCCTCGGCGCAGGATTTTGCTATGTCTTGCGGCTCGGAACGGTGGATATTGGATAGACAATGATAGATAGTTGAGCCCCAAAATCAGACATTTTCTCTGGTCATGATGTGGAAGTGGGGTTGAAGTTACCCTTGCAAACCGTCTGGCCACAGACCCAAAGTGAAATTTTGTAGATTTTGTAGTGCCTCCAGCCTTTGGGCATCACATTTGTCCCACTGGAAGGCTATAGACCGTGGCTCCAGAAGTACCAGATTCTCGCAGCCGGTCATGGCACGGAGGCTGGGATGGAAGATGACTCAATCATTCGGTTGCAGTCGTAGATGGAAAAAGATTGGCTCGTTGGAGATATGGAGTTGTTTTCATGAAGGCTCACCGGGTCAAGATACCTGACATACCTGACATATAAGTACATATAATATCATGCTTTATCGCCCCCTCGGTGAGAAAGTCATGGGTCCTTCCAGTGGCAGGATGGTGGCTTCTCCATCGAACGGAAGGGCATCAAATCCATGCGAGCGCATTTGGCTCACCGCGAGTTGCTGAAACGTGGCAACCAGCAGGACTTAGAGCTGCAGCCTGGTTTCAACATGTTTCACCTGGTTGAACTATGATATACTATGATTCCCTGAGCACGGACAAGGTAGAAGCACATGCTAGAACTGAGGGTCCGCTTCCAAATCTGAGGCGCCTTGGAATTCTGCATCTAAGAATCTAGAACAGCCACTGAACAGCCCATGTCTTGTGGATGTTCAGGGTCTACCCCACTTCAAAAAGATAGCTTGGAGGAAAATTTACTGTTGGAAATGGTATAAAATGATGTGTGTCTGGATTTTGCCAGGTCAGATTTCGTTTTTTTTTTGGGGTGGTGTTTTGCCCAGGTACTACCGGACCTACATCATGGCCAACGAGTTTGGGGAGCTGCCCCACTTCGCCTGTCATGGGATGTTGGCTCGGACCCATGCTGTACAGCACGTGCTGAGCGAAAAATGCCCGTTGCAGCTGATGCAGCTGGCGATGGGACGGTTGGGAGTTGAGGGCCGTTGAGGGTTGCTGGTCTCAGGACTCCTATCTTTTCTGTTCATATGTTTTCCAGCGATTGATGGATAGGCAGGAAAATCTGCGGCAATGAGAACGATGTGTGACTATTGACCTGGTATGACTATCATATAAATATGTATAAATATGTCTAAATATGTGTAAATCATACACATAATATTGTTTCTCTTTACCCTTTAGGTTGCCTAGCGGCCCCTTGGGATTCACATCCCGCAAGGCTCCGAGGACCTTCCTGGTGCAATGCCCCAAAGGTGTCGCCAAGCTGCGATCATTGGGCTGGTGTGGGATATTCACATGGGCTGGGCGGCTGGACGGCATGTTTATGACTTGAGTTGACTTTCACATGTTTTTCTTGGTGTTTTCTTTTCATGGGAACAGATGGGAATGCATGGGAATAGATGGGAATTGATGGGAAAAGAATGGAATGCATAGAAAATGACTGCCTCAAGCCGTCCCAGACCGACACTGGTGTCACTGCCCAAGGCCACACCCGGCACCCTGGTGGAAGTCACAACGCCCGAGGGCTTTAGCGTCCAGGTCAGCATCCCGATGAACGTCGCACCAGGTGACCAATTCTCGGTGCAGTACTGAGCCGATGGATCAAAGTGTCCAGCTGTCCAGCTGTACGGTACCACTACACACACATATAATATATATATATAATATACAGTAATATATTATATATTATAATATAATATGCTATATCTATATGATATGTATGATGTTTACTTATATGTATTTGTGTATGATTGTATGTGTATGAATATGGATATATGTGATGAGATATGTGCATATATTGTTTGATGGATATTATATATATAATATAAAGTGAACATATTTGATGTTTGGTATGAGTTGAGTGAGAGGGTGCGAACGGAACACCTGCGTTTCCTGTCTCACCCACCTCAATTTGCGAGGTTTCGCTTGATCACCGTTCCTTTCACTTGCGTTTCGGAGAAATGAGAGCGCTGTGGTTCACATGCCCCCTGCGGATGTTGGTGGTATCCCTGGTCTAGCAAGCTAAATGCGGCCACTGCCACCATGTTTCTCAAGCTTCATTTGTGAAGCGGTGCGAAAGCTAATTTTTTGCGGGTGAAATCTATTCCTGGCACCTCGTAAAATATACATATGATCATATGGGTCCGAAAATCAGGGTAAGTGAACTCCCCAAGTTTGCCTATACCAGGTGGGCATGTTGTGGCCTTTGCCACCACTTCCTGCGTCCTCGCCAGCATGTCGAAGAACGCCTTGGGGCTTTGTTTTATGGGTTGCTTGGAAGAACAAGTGGAAGGTGTGTATACTCATATGAAATGGGATGGCCATACATAGTATGACATAGACTCTGGTGAAAATCGTGAATTGCAGGGGTTGAATTACCAACCCATTAGGATGGAATCCTACCCATGTCCAATGGTTATAAGAAATCATAGTATCATGGAGGTATCATAGGATATCATAGAGGTCTTCAAAATCACTTGTGCCATTTTAATCCATTTTATGCCCAATAGAAAGGTCCCGATATTCCATCATCATAGCTGTTAACAGGATATATCTATGGTTGAAATATGTTGAAATCCCCAATGATCCCCAATGATCTGGTTGGATAATTTGGATGGTTCCCATGTGTTGCCTTCGATGCATTTCGCTGCGAATTTCGACGCACAAAAAACGAGGTGATACCCTGAATCTGCAGATTTCGCTACGTGATCCCAAACAACTCCTGACATCGATTCCGACACCTGGCGGACCTGGCGGTGCAGTGATTTTGTTCGGGGAATGGCAGCCATTGGCAGTACCATTTGGTGATATCATGATTATAATGGGAATTATATATCATTATAGATCATTATAGACTATATCGTTACCTTGCAAATGGGAGACCAGAATAAACCGGCCATTGTATGGGAATAGATCAGTTGCTCACTAGCTGGAGACTTTTGGCCACCTTTGTGACACTGCGTGACCAATGATTTGTTGGCTTCGAGACAATTTTGGATCAGTAGCCATGGTAATGATATAGAGAACCTCACACATCGTGGAACCTCAGCCTTTTACTACATGCCGCCCAGCAGGACACCCCAAGTTTTGTTCCAGCAAGGTATGACATCGAAGAAGAGTTTCTTCCCAAATTCTATGATGTTCATAGGCAGCCAGGAGTGCCAATCAAGCATATATTCCTTTTGCACCGAACTTCTTCGCTTTGGCCGCCATGTCATGAAGGGTCTTCGAGCGTTTGTTTGTGCCGTGGCGTTCAGCCTGCCCTTGGCTCGGGGCCAATGCTATCCCGTGCCAACAAGCAATGGACTCGTATACACGTGTACCAGCTACAGCAGCCAGATGGGAAATCCACGCTTCGATATGGAGCCTTGGAATGCATTAGAGAGGCTGGTCGCTATTGGATGTGTTTGAGAGCAAGTGCTTTTTCATGTTGAAGTTATGGCATCCTCATTGTTGGTGTGTAGAGAGTGACCTAGTAACCTGTTGAAAGGCTATAGTAGGTCTGATGCGTTTGGCGTGATGTTCTTGTCCAGCGGAGTCTAGCACCTTGCCGCAACGTCTTAGGTGATCCCAGATCCTGACACAGTGAAGAATTCCTTCGAACTGCGTTTGGAAGTGAGTGCGCAAGCTCCGATGGACCGAAATGACAGTCGTTGTGTCGAGCGAAGTGTGGAAACCGTGTTTGGATATAGTGCCTCGGTGTTCGAAGCTGCATGGCACCCACGGCACCCACAGATGGTCAGATGATGATAGAGATCATCAATACAAATCAATTAGAAATGCTATGATAAGCTATGATAAGCTATATAGATGCCTCCCAAAGGCATGCTAGAATGAGTGGCAGCCTCCCGCCTTCCCCGTTGTTGCTTTTGATTCAATGGTCCCAACTCAACATCCTAGGTAGCAACTATGTTTCCTTGCATCGACAGGGTGTAGTCACTGCAGAAGGCAAGGGAACAGAAGCGCTGAAGGAAGTCGATGTCGGTGGTTTCAGAGTTGCAGAACTAGGGCACAGTTTTTTACAGAGATATGAGATATTCGGTATGCAAACACGTTGGCCGGGGGAGGAGTCTAATAAGTCTAATATGTGTTCTCATTGTTTTCATACATATTATTGGGGCTATGACAGTCCCCTCAAGTCATCCACGTCATCCACGTTCCCGATATCGATCACCTGCTGAGTCGATCTGAGTAGGCGAATGCCAAGTCCCTGCCATTGACGAGATTTTGTACTGCATCAACGGCCTCAACCCGGCGCCCACGTTGCATATCACCTCAGTGGTCGCCACGAGCTTCCCTGCCATGGTGCAGCTGAAGGCGCAGATCAAACCCAGCAGAGATTGGGGCCGGAGGAATTTCACCTTGAATTATGGGGGCCAATATGGTCGCACAGCTTTTCACATCTTCACCATCCCAGAAAATCCATATTATGATATATGGCGCTTGCGTATGGTGGCGCGACATCAGAATCTGACTTCAGAGCCGCCTACGTCACGCATTTTCATTTTTCCGGAGTCCTCGCCGTGCATTTCACAGATCGCGGAGGATGGTGGGTGTGTGGACCCTGTTCTCACTGAGACGTGCTTGAAGTCGGTCCCCGTGTCTTTCAGACAACCAGATCCGACTGAAAATCTGAAGGTTGCGATGCATATGAGCTTCAAAACGAAAATGACCATTAGTCTAAGCCTCGTGGCTGCAGGTTATTTGCTGGAGAGTTTGTAAAAGGACTTCCCAGGACTGTCAGGGTTTTCTTTCTATTTCGCGATTTTTCTGTTAAAATATTGTTTGGTTGTGCTCAGGGCCGCATAAACTGAACCCACAATGAGTGAGAATTGGTTCCTCTCTTTGGTGCTTGTAGATGGGATATGTAGTTTTTGTTGCCTGACTATTAAACCCCCTTTCTAGGTGCACTATGGTGGCATGGCCTACCAAATGTATCCAAACACATCCAAATGCCACATCTATGCCATCCATTGTATTGTATGCACAGGATGTCACACATATTATCATATCAGATCTACACCTGATATTGTAAGCACCTGTGCCTATCTCCAAAATGACCAAAGATTTCCATAGATTTTCATATCATGTAAATCTCTACGATTCTCTACGTAGTATATTAACTGTATATTACAATGTATAATAATGCATACGGTTCGACTCGGAGTGACATCTCGAGCGCTCAGAGGTCGGGGTTCCATCCCATATCTTCGACCTGGAAATTGGATGGTCTTTGTGACCTGCGGAGACCTGAACTCCAGGTGTCCAGCGACAGACGCTCGGTTGCACAACGGGGCATGGAGTGATGTCACGCCAAGAATTGTATGAGTTGATACAACTTGATACAATTCAAACAACTTCTACGTTGTAACATGTTGCAACATGTTGGCTCCGCCGGGGGGGTTTGCCCGGCTTGGAACAAGGTCGACTGTGACTACATGTGATGAGTATCCGCAGCCGTTTGTTGTTCTTGTAGTCATGGTGTTGATTTTACTGTGTTTTTTCATATAAAATGTGGTTGTTCACAAGTAGACTTCATATCATGTTTTCAGATGCAATTGATCATTGAATGTTTTGACAATGTCCAAACTTGAGTTTTTTTTCGCCAAATCTGGCGGAAAAAACAACAATCACCTGTAATTTACAGCGTTTCCATTTGACACGATTTGCATACATATATAGACAGACATGAACTATACATATATATATATATATCACGTACACCAGAAGTAAACAGAAAGAGTCAGACAGAAAGGAGACACATGGCAAGAAGAAATACATTGAACCCAATCAAGATGAAGAAACGATGGACAAGCAAACATGACACTGCGATTGCGTGATACGTTTGCACATGACACACCAGCAGCGTACCATGTGTACACATGAACACACCAGCAGCGTACCATGTGTACACATCAACACACCAGCAGCGTACCATGTGTACACATCAACACACCAGCAGCGTACCATGTGTACACATGAACACCAACGTTGACACACCCCACCCCACCCCACGTACCATGTGTACACATCAACACACCAGCAGCGCACCATGTGTACACATGAACACACCAGCAGCGTACCATGTGTACACATCAACACACCAGCAGCGCACCATGTGTACACATGAACACACCAGCAGCGTACCATGTGTACACATCAACACACCAGCAGCGTACCATGTGTACACATGAACACCAACGTTGACACACCCCACCCCACCCCACCCACCCCACCCCACGTACCATGTGTACACATCAACACACCAGCAGCGTACCATGTGTACACATGAACACCAACGTTGACACACCCCACCCCACCCCACCCCACCCCACCCCACTGTGTACACATCAACACACCAGCAGCGTACCATGTGTACACATGAACACCAACGTTGACAAACCCCCCCCACCCCACCCCACCCCACCCCACCCCACATGTTAAAATTCCGGGCAAACCCCCCCGGTAGACCCAACATGTTGCAACTATACTTGATATCATTAGTGTCAGGTTCGCACCTTTATCATGATCGATCATTATCGTCACCGTTGTTATGACTGTAATCAGTACTAATCATTAGTGTTTATTAGTTATTCTTATTAGTTGGTATTCTTAATTGTCAATTATGCAAAATATGAAGTGTTGATTTTTATTGTGAATCTATTTGATCCCTTTTTGATCCGTTGTTGACTTGGAATATCTTGGAATGAGGAACTGAGTGTGGAGTCCTACCCGGAGTTCAACCTCCGTTGGAAGTTGCTCAGTGGTGTGGCGATTGTTATCCTGGGCACCATGATGGTCCTCTTCTCGGTGAATGCCATCTATGCCATGGCATACACCATCCTCTACCGCTGCAGCCCGGAGGGGACCCAACAGAAGGGTTCCCATGAGAGGAGTTTGTGGCCGGTGCTCATTGGATTGTGTAGTAAAGATCATGCACTGATGTTACGGATGAAAGCGAAGAAAATCAGCAGACCGGTGCCTTTCTTTCCAGCGCTGCTCAGTTTGATGCTGGGCGTTTTTCTGGCTACCACTGCCCAGTTTGTCATCACCCACTACGGTTTGATGATTCGCACTGGAAATCGTGACATTTGTTTCTACAATGAGAGTTGTTACTATCCCGGGAAGGTTTGGGACTTACCCTGGAACCATATTGCCTCCAACCTGGCATACTTTGTAGCTGCCCTGCACATCATTTTCCAAGCGTTTTTTGCGGAGACCCGGTGTTATTTCTTCTCCCGGAAGTGCATCGTGGCCTTGTACAAAACCATGGATTTCCAACAGAAAGGCTATTTGGATCGCAGCGATTGGAGAAGACTCTTTCGGAAGGCGGATCGAAACCGTAGCGGCAAAGTGTCACGGAGTGAATGGAAGGATTCTCAACTCATCACATGATACACTCGAGAGAGATTTAAGCGTTGAGTCGATTTATGTCAGTTTGCTCTCCCTCTCAATTTTTGCCCGTTTTCCTGTGTTGTCCTCATGTTCTGGATTTTTTAGAGTCTTAAAAGCTGGACGCATTGTTGGCAGCAGTTCAGTTTTCCATATCCGTTTCCTTTCCACCTTTTTGCAAAGGAGTATAATTATTGTGACAATGCTCAGGCCTCAGGCATAGCTTTCAACATCCAAGGAAACGTACTCAAATCCAATTGGATTTGACTTCATCGATACCAACCATGATGGCTTTCTGGAGAGTGCTGAATGGGATGATGCGTTCACCCGCTTGGACCAGAACCAGCCGCTGCGCCGCAGTGCAAGCATCCCATCATACTTTTCTTAGGTCCCAGGTCCCTACTTCCCACATTCTAAACGGCTCATGTAAATGCGTTTCAAATCCCAAAAATGAAAGCGTTTTTCCCCTTCTGTTCGAGCGATTTTGAAAGGGGAATCTGACGGGGTTCGTTTTTCTCCATCCATTTTGTTTAGATATGTTTAGATCACTCTTGTTTTACTGTGGTTCTGCACTGTCCGCCGTTTTTTGGTGAAAGGAATGGTCAAATTTGCGAGCTCGACATGCTCAACGTTCTAAAAGACATCGATCTCAGGGCATTTTATGCCATCGGCGTCGCTTTTCTTGGTGAGGGCATTGGCAGTATGTGCTCCTCGGATGATTTTTTGGGCATGCTTTTGTCTTGTGCTAAGTTTGTGACTTCACAAATGCATCCATGGAGTTTAGACTGATGAAGATTAAGAGAACTCACCAGCCAATACCAGCATTTTTTTTGATCTTTGGCGAATTATAAGGTTATCACCTGTGCCCCTCGGTGGAGACATTTCAGTTCGATACGTGCTTCATGATTCCCATTGCTAATTTATTTACCTTGGCACTGGTGGATTGGGGTCAAGGCCAAGGAGGTTCCGATGAAATCACCGCGCTGAAATACTTCGTCTACATTTTGACGCCCATTTGGCTCATCAATTTCATTGGCACCTGGTATGACATTGGGGTCTTCCCATTGGGATGGCTGTACTGGCTGTATGCCTTTTTCGTCATTGCGTGGGCACTTTGTGTTGTGGTGGCAGGTTTGAGGCGTGTTGTTCAGGTCCCAGGCGATTGCGCACTGCGGGCCATGAGAGCCATACAGTTGTTGCTAGTGATATCTATCGGAGCATCTTTTCTGATGCCACCGGTACGCAACAATGTCTTCAGTGGTACTGCGAACCTCTTCCTGATGCTCTCTGTGGTAGTGATGATCTTTGTCGTGAGCCGGCAGCTCTACATGGAAGATTTCATCTTCATGAAATGCACCTGTCGAGACGTTGGGGGTCGCATTATCAAAAACAGTTATGGTTTTTTCCTTTGTGCCATAGCTGTCCTGGCCATCATTTGCTTCGGAAAGAAGGTGGTGATCGTTGAGCCCGGCATCACCCCGGCGCAGAGTCATGACGTGAACCAGGGATGCGTTTTCGACATCTTCGACCTCCACGATGTGTGGCACGTGTTGTCCGCTGTGGCCTTGGCACTCTTCGCTATGCTGTTGCTGGATGTGCGGGTGAACTCATGGGCTCGAAAGAGCCTCGGTTTGGGAAAGAGGCGAACGATTATAAAGATTCGAAGAAAGATTATGAACGATTCATAACGGTGTCACGCATTTTCCATTTGGCTTCAGTGGCATTCGATGGGTGTGAAACTTTTCAAGATCATCATCTAGAACAATCCCCTGTACCCCTTGTGTGCATCACTCTAAACTTTCTGCTCGTGCGATGGACTTTCCAGCAAGTTGTTTCGGTTTCTGACATTTTCTGACTCGACGGATCTTCTTCAACTCAGGAGGGGCCTTCAAATCTTGTTCGAAGAGATGCCAGTTGACATGTCCGACAGCGATGGTGATGAGGCCCTTGTGAGCTCCGATACCTGCGACATGTCGCCCTGTCCCTAAAGGCCCGGAATGGGCCGGGCGAAGGGCCGTCGCGGTCCGATTGGCCAAGGCCTCACCGGGTGCTGCAGGCGATTGGCCAATGGCACAAGGCCGCACGAGGCCATGAGGAACTTGGCTGGTTGGAAAAAGATGGAAAAAGCGCCAAAAGCTCCGGTTCAATCGATGTGATGTTGAAAGTGAGGTGATGAAGAACTGTTGTAACATGTTGGAAATCGGATGGTGTATAAGCCTGCTTATAGGAGCTTAGAGATCACATTTGATGTTTGTCGTTGCAAAATTGTGCGACTGACTGGCAGATCCTGATGATTTGCTTCTCTTAGATTGCCACCTATGTCCCTTCAATAAAGAGACGGTTAAGATATGTATAGATATGTTATGTTGAGGCTGTGAAGACGTCAGAAGCATGTCAGCATTTGCTGTGCTGTTTTGCCGCCCCGATGGTACCATATTCTCTTCTTGTCACCGGAGCCTGTGCACCACAGCTCAGGATGCGTTTGATGAAGATGAAGGACCTGAACCTTAGGTTATTATCTGTTTTTTTAATCTTGTGAGGGACGCAGTTTTCATTTGAATGTTTTGCATGTTCAGTACCTATTTGCAGGACCCGCAGAGTGGATCTGCCCGACATCCCTTGGAGTCGACGGCCAGTGAGGGAATGGTGTGGCGGTGGATGCCATATTCACCGGGTGGCCCACCCCTACAGTCTCCAGGAGAGTTTTCGGTGCCTGTGGACCAAGGTGCATTGCAGTGCAAGTTGTTTGGATATGTTTGGATAGGTTTGGATGAATAGATGTACAGGAGCAGAAAGCCAATTGACCTCAATTGAAGCTCAGTTGGGTGATGCTGGCTCCAAATCATTGTTTGTTGTGGCGTGTTCTGACATGTTCTGATGTTCTTTCGCCAGGTGAAGTGGATGCTATCCTGGAAGCAGCGGAGAATGGACGAGCAGTGCCTGTGTTCACCCAGACGCCCAAGGTAGCCAGCGCGGTCAGTGCCCCTACGTTCCTGAAGATGAAGGAGGGGGGATGTGGCTGTGACCCAAAGGCCATGGCTCAACACATGTCAAAGCGATTGGTCCCCCTGGCCATATGTGGGAGTGGGCCCATTGATGCTCCATTTTAATAATGTTTAATCATTTTTAAGCTATGTCCATTTGTGGCAGTACCATGCCTAACTCTTCAGCCATTCATCCAGGTTACCTTCTCGCCACCATGCAGGAACAAGGGAATTCACTTTTCAAGGCTGGTGAGTTCATGAAGGCTGGCTGAAGGTCTTTGCTGAGCTTCTGGGAAGCGGGACTCAGATGAATCATACAATTTATATACAATTTATAGTGGGGTGTGAGTTTCCTCTAGGATTTCAGGGAGGTCAACCCCCCTAAGAAGGACTGATTTTCTGGCGCGAAAATTCTTCGATTTTGATGAAAGGCTGCTTTTATCAACCCCCTCATTTTCTACAGAACAACTTTTGGAGACCTCTGAGTCGGGAGACCCTGATTTTCATTGATTTTCTGTGTAGCTTAAGTGCCCAAAATCCAGGAGCATAATTTTAGCATCTCTGGGAGGACGTTCCTAGATTTTCTAGTGGTCCCTGATTTTCTAGAGGGGCACTGGTAGGTCATTTTGTTTTGTTTAAACGTGCTTAAAAAATCTTAAAATCTAATCCCATCTCTCTCCTGTCCAAGTTTGCAACACTTGCCGCATCTCGCTGCATTTCATTGCAGCGGTCTCGGGGAATGGGCGGCAATGAGCATGGCATGATGTCATGTTTGCATTCGTTGTTTTCATTAAACGGTCGCACAGTGTTTCAGGATGTTTTAGGATGTTTCAGAATGTTTCAGGGTTTTTCCGGTTAATTTTGGGGTAATTTCGATGGTATTTTTGTGGGATGTTAATGGGATGGAATTTCGATGAAATTCGAATAATTCGAAAAATTCGATGTTGGTCTCTAGAAAAATGGAACCATTCCCTGGAAGTTGTTTTCAAAAAAATTGATTTCGATTTTCAACGTTGTACCATTCAAGCAGGGTGATGTTTTTCTAAGAAAAAATACGGTCCATAGCTTCGAAAATGCACTTCTTGGGGGGTGCCATTTTTCTAGGGTAGCTCGAATTGGTTTGATGTCTGTAGCTAGATTTTCTTGGGTCCCTAATTTATACAACATTCATTTTCTAGTAGAAAATCACAGGCCCCAACCGGACCCGGTAAACTGCCACCCGGTTCAATTTATATACTGTCATATCATGTCATATTATGTCATTACATATGTTTACCATGTTTCGAATATGTGAATATGTTTGAACTGCAGTTCAACTGCACATTGAACAGTAGACCTTCAGCCAGGCGGTTTCTGCCTACAACGCTGCGCTGCGTGAAGATGGTGTGCCTCCTGCCGATGCGGCGGTGGTGCACAGCAATGCTGCACAGGTCCGAGCTTCTCTCAGCATGGAGTTGGGGTCCACAACACCTTTTTTTTGCGAATGTGGAATATTGTGGAATAATAATGAATAAATGGGTATATCATGGTATAACAAGCTAAGGATCTGAGAAAGATTCGAAACCCTATTGGTTTCATCCCTGAAGTAGACTGTCAAGAGTTGATTTCTGGGACCTTCCAATGACATTTAATGAGTCTCGTGTAACGTGATTTCAGTATCACGTAACAGGGCTAAGTCACAACCCATGTCCATACTGGCACGTGCTTTTAGTTGTTTTGTGTTTCATCCCTAATTACTCATGATGATGATTATATTATATTTTATTTTAGTCCCATTCTCTTTAGAGATTAACGCCACCAATTAGTGTGGTGTGATGTAATGTAATGTAGTGTATGTGTGCGGACCAATTGGTTCCCGAAAACGGGGTATACCCCAACAGTGCCATTGTGGGGAACATGATGAATGCTTCTCTCCTTGGAGAACCTCCAACTGGTTCCCCACCTTTTCGCTTCTCCAGGCCTTGCTAAAGACAGCGGAGGCCGATCCCAGCGTTTGCAAACCCTTGGCTGCTGAAGCGCTGAAGAGGGCCAATGAGGCCTGGCGTCATGGGATGAGTCAAAATAGGCAAAAAAATATCTTCAGATGGACGGAGATAGATTGGATTCGATTGTGACTATGATTAGACAGACAGACAGACAGACAGACAGACAGACAGACAGATAGTACTTGTACAGAGATACCTACATTTTAACACTAACAATGACACATTGCGCCCGCAATGGTGCGGCCCATAACCCACAGGGCCATATCTTGGCCAAAGACATGGCCAAAGTGGACTGCCAATCCATGTGCTGATGTGATAGGCAGTGGGTTTGGATCCGACCAACGTGAAGGCTGGTGACCCAAACTTGGATGGTTTTACACCTCAACTTTGTGGGCCCATGGGACCTATTTTGGACCCCTGCTCTGATTCACAGCTGTGACCATGCTAGGCCTACGCTCGTTGCGCAGCAGCATGTGACTTGCTGGAGGAGCATGAGGCTGCCAGTGACACTCAATGATTTTGCATGATTTGCGCAGCTTACTATCATTTGTAGTCTAGCTTTATGTTGCTGCTTACAAATGTGTTCCGCAGGCAGCTGCAGAGTTTCGCCAGCACCAAGCACGATGCCAGGCTGCTGCGGAGGCAGGGGCTTACCTGAATCCATTGCAGACAAGCCATCCCCAAAATTTCACCCTGTGTATTTGGTTTCCGTTTGCTTACCTCAGAACGTAAACTGGCTTTGCAGCAATTCGTGCGGAAATCGCTGTATGTTTTCCATTGTTTTCCAGTTGGGTTCCTCTCGCAGCCTCGCAGAGTTCCGTTCCCATCCTTCCTACATCTTCCTACCTTAGTTTGCTGCTAGATCTGGAGGCCACTCAACAAGCCCGCCGTGCCGAAGCAGAGCAGCGGCGGCAGCAGCAGGAAGAGCAGCGGAAAAAGATGGCCGCGGCCATGGAGGAGACAGAAATTCAGATCTCAGCTGATCTCAGCTCAAAGTTGGAAGTTGTTGGATGACGACAACAATCATAAGACACACACGTCTCTGGCAGGAGAAAGCGCGTTGCGATGCTTTGTTGGAGCGTGAGCGTGAGTTGGAACGTCGGCGGGCCAAGGAGGATGCTGGGGACCTCGGGCAGGCCGGGATTCGCGTGAGTCCAAAAGAAACATTCGGCGTTAACCTTATTAACTTCCCAACATCCAAAAAGATGCTAACACGATAAAACAAAACATGGCATGCTCAGTGCCAGAATCTCCCACCTCTCTGTGTTGCAGGCAGAAGCTGCGCGTCTCTCCTCCATGCTGGGCATGGACAGCACCCTTGCGGGAATGCCCGCACGCGGCGTGGGAGGAAACTGATTTTCTGCGACGAAAGCAGCAAGTCAAACACACCTATGCATTTACCACGGGTTCAAAACCTTTGAATACCTTTGAAATCAAATTCGTTGACAATGTTGATGTATGATGATGTCCGTGGATGTTCATCCTATATTCCCAGGAGAAGATACATGAAAATAGGCCAATCAATTACAAGATCCACAAGTCTTGCTGGAAATTCATTGGTGCAAGGCATCAGCCGTAGGCCTGCCGAAACCTGGCAGAGTTGCATGTCTTGGGAGATGTACATCTGGGCCCGAAAAAGCATCGCAGCAAGGAATAGGAGGGAGCAGACTTAGGAGGTGTTCGGTTAAAACGTGTCAACAGATGCAAGGTAACTTTGACTTCAAGTATTTGAGATGCATGCGCAGGATGCAAGATAATTTCAATCACTACAGAAGTCCAGGGGTCAAGTACTCTCGTGAGGGGGCACATGATGCAGCCCGTCCCATTTCGTGCCGTGGCCATCTCGACAGCTCACATTACAACAAATTTTGACAGCATGCGGCTTGATATTTGGTCCATGTTAGCATACTTTAGAGCTTTTAGCAATTTTAATCCATTTTAGCCTAGCTAATGCTGACTTTGAATATGTGTTAATTCACGCTTCCTGTTTGAGCCGAAGATACATTTTTTTTCACTTGGTCTTGACGTTGAGACACTGATGCCGTTTCCAGTGGAAGGCCTGGCAAGTCCTGCAGGAAAACGTATCCTTTCGCTGCGCCGACATGTTTGGAGCATCAGCAGAATCACCGGGTTTTGCAGGAAAATGGTCTGGGAAATCAAATAAATCAATGTTTTGCCATCCAAACATGGGGGTTTCTGTAAATCTTCACCTAAACCAACTCTCAGATTCGCTGTTGTTCAGTTTGACTACAACGTTTTGCATATGAAGTCCTGGCACAATTCGGGCTTCAGATCAAGGCAACCAGCTCGCCCATTGTCTCACAGAGTGAAATGGCCTGAGGTACACCGGGCCTACCTCTTGGCCAACTGATGAATTCTGTCGCTCACTGGGCCCAAGTGACATGACGTAATGCCCAAAGGAATGCACCTCCACAAGGGCCGAAGTTTCACGTCTGCAAATCAGACCGGAGTTTACTGTACTTACTTGATCTTACTTGCAAGTTGCATGTGAATCAGAAGTTCAGAAAAAATCACGTCACTGACATACTTTGTGGGGTTGCCGGCTTTGGAAATTTGATTGAGGAAACTACTTTGCTACATAGGAACTCGACAGGAAACTAGGTAAAGCTGTAAGAAACTGACAGCCAAGAAAAACTAAACCACCATCAAAAACACGTGCAATGATGCAACACCAAGCCCTCAACCTCTATGATCTCTATGTCAATATATTATCATCAGAACTGGGTGAAAAGGTTTTGCTGATTGCCTTTCGCTGGCGCCATGGGACCTCGGAAACGGAAGGCGTTTGACAGAGATGAAGCCGACGAAGCGGAGACAGCTGACGAAGGCTTCATGCATCCCGCCCGCGTTTCCATGTGTTGTTTTCGGTGTTTTTAAAGGGTTTGCAGACGATAATGGATCATAATGGATCTATATATGAATCTATTGGATACATTCAGCTACCCCTTGGAAAACACTGCCCACTCTTGTTTTGTGCCAATGGTATTAGCCAAGGCAGCTTCGGCAGGACCTGCAGTATCACGCCTCCAAGTTCTCGGAGAAGCACAACTCCAAGCGGACGGCACTCATCCAGCGCTACCGGCGTTGTTCAGCTGACTGGGCAACCTCTGGGGAAACTGCGCAGATCCTGAAGCACGCATTCCATGTGGTAGTTTCTCGTTTGTCATTGCCCGGGGTGCAGGGTTTCGTTTCCCGATCTTTAACATGTTCCCATATGCTCCCATGAATTTTCTGAATCAGGCTTATCAATGCTTATTAGGCGTTCGTGGTTGGGGGGGTTCTTTCAAGCGTTTCCCCTGAGATTTCCGTCGCTGGGCGTTGGCCCGGCCATTTGCCATCGCCATTCAAAAAAGGCTTGGTTCGCCTTCGCATGCGACGAGAGTGAGATGAAGGTCGTCCAAGAGTTGGCTGAGCTCCTGATGCAAATGCTGAAATCCTGCAAGCGGCAGACACCCCCGCCGCGGCTGCGGGTGGCCCTGAAGGTCGCGGCCGAAAAGCTGGAGGATATCCAGGAAGCGAAGCACGACTTCGCAGAAGCGGTGCTGAAGGAGGTGAAGGCCGGAGGGGCCTCTTCGAAGATATTTGGGGCACCCCCAAAATAGCGGGGGGCAGTGCGCATCACTGGACAAGAAATGAACTAGTTGATACCAACTGCATATAACTGCATATTTCATACATAAGAGGGGCTTCAAACTTCAAGCGAACGCCTGGTCTTGTTGCTTTGAACATTTCTGCGTCCACATAACCAAAGTTCGCTTTTGCCTTCATTTGCCTTCAAAAGTTCGAATCGTTCGGAGGCGATGCTGAAGCGTCACTATGGTGGCTCAACACACGGCGCACCAGGAAAACGCTCCATCGCCCCATGTGGGACTCACGGGCGCACAGACATTTGCTTGATCAGGTCCGTCCTGAAGAAACGAGAAATGCCACCGAGGTACAGGATGGGCTGGGACGGGCTCAAAAGGGGCTGGTTCAGTGCCTTCGAGGGGAGGCACATGAAGGGCGGGTGGGCTCCCAGCAGCCGATTCACAGACAAAGATGCCATCGAGCACTTGTACGACGTCATCACCAAGCATGCGGAGAGCTGTGGTGGATAAGCACTTTGGGGATTCACGGATGTGATTCACAAGGGTGATTCACAGGGATACTGATGACCAAGGCTGCACAATTGGGATGCCACTTCCGCAGCAAACGTGATGGACGGCTGTGGTTGTGACCTAAACAATCTGAAAACTGCAGATGACCTGCAAGGATGTGATGGTACATGACCGCATGTACAACGAAAGCTTGCAAAACCATGTGTGACGCTGCATTGGTGTTGCCCATCAAGTTTGCGGGTGCCTAGTGCCTAGGAGGTTTACTTTGTTTCAGTATTTGAAGTTGCCAGGTCGCAAATAGCGGAAGAGAGGAATGAGAATGAGGCAAGCCTGACGGGCCATGGTTGGAGACTTGTGGAAGCACAGGGTGTCCAGGTTCCTTTCAGCTTTCCAAGTTTGTTCCTCTGCCTTTTGCTCACAGCCCTGAGCAGACATGAGATCGATGGGATTGTGTCGGCATGCGTTGGGCACTGCTTCGTTTGACAAAGTGGCACCACGGCGATGCACGCCAAAATACCCTCTCAGAACGAACCCATGTTCGAAACATTTTGAAGGAATGCTTATTGGTGTGTCATGGTTTTTGTCTTAAAAGACCCACAGAAGTTATTCAATTTATTTCAGTTCGGACTTGAATTGCTGACCGTCAAACTGTTTTAGTTGGATCACGGGTCAACCCAACAGTCAGCCATGTGTGAGCAATGGCATGTGTCGTTGCGTGATATCCGGGCTGTCTATGATCCAGAGATGCATATAGCGATGCTACAGGATAGTAGCAGGCACCACTTCTATGCCAAATGCCTTCTGAAACACCAGGAGGACCTGAAGGACAAGGTGCTGCAATGTGAAACGCGGACAGGACTGTACTTCTGGACATCCGTGGTTTCGTTAGTTGCTGCATGTTGTTGCATTTACCGCACCAGCCATCACCAGCCCACAGCCCCCGAATGCATTTTCCCAGGGCGGTTGTGGTGCCACATGTGCCACATCACCCTGGTGCAGGTGGCGGTTGACGTGGGGGCTGGCATTGGAATCATGTCTGCGATGGCCCTGGTGCATGGCAAGCTGGGCCAAGTCCATGCGGTGGAGGCGACTGGGAGTGTCGCATAGTGTCGCTGTGAGGTTTTCACCAAAGCCATAGGTGTGGCAATGGATGCCATGTGGCCTGTCATGGTTTGTTGCTCGTGTAGATGTGCAACCCAGGTCTTGCCTGAAGTGGCACGAATCATTCCAAAAGTCTTGGAGAGCATATTGGATGCCGAGGACTGGACTTTCTGTTTTTTTTCCTGATTTTGACCACATCAGGTTGTTGAGAACAAATCATTGAGCTCTACATTCCCATCTCCCAAAACTGTGGACCGTCAAAATCTGTCCAGGACCGCGGTAAGGTCAGGGTTCACTGCGGTTTCGTTGAGAAACTTTGCAGTGTGCCTGGATGGCCGGGCGATGCAGTTGCCCTGGTGGTTTCAGACACTTGGCCCTGGGAGTGCTTGGAATCACTCGTTTTTCCAGTTCTTCCCCTTTGAAAAATAGAAGAAGATACCACAACATGGTGATATATCTGATAGATGAAGCTTCCCAACTCACCAACAAAGCACAAGGAGGACAAAGAGGAAAGACCTCCCAAAGCTATCGCAGAGTGTTTTGCAGATCGCCGCACTTCATGATGACATCAAACATTAAGACATATGAAGGCAGGAAAACACGTAACGTTTCTACACGTACGAAATACTATATGCACCCTATACATCCCTATACAGTAAACATCATGCAATAATCATATTACATCATCTTTGTACGTCTTTGGACCATGATGATGTAAGATGCTGTGACGCCACCAGGAATGGCTTGGCATCCTGGCCTTAAACGAGGGCATGGCCCAGCCACTGCTGCGCTGCCGCGATGCGCTTTGCAGCTTGGATTGGGAAATTGCCGCGGTGGGTTCAACACATCAAAAAAATCGAAGAGGAACTTGAGGGGAACAATGGTTGGACATGGATGGCTAAGGTTGGTCATGGTCAAACACTCGTAAAATTTGTTTGGGGATTTTGGGAAAGAAATTGAAGGGATAACGTGTTTTACTTTTCAACTGGACATGATCAGAAACAGCTGGCCCGAGGATCAAATTTTGGTCATTCAGTTTTGGGGATGAGTTGGGTGAAATCTGGTGAAATCTCGGGAAGTAACATGTTAATCTATGCTGATCTATGTTAATCTACTATACGTTGATCTATGTTGATCTATGTTGATCTATATTGTTGGCTTATGTTGATCTATAATACCCACATGACATTTCAAATGTTCATCCGAGGTCATGGTCCAGCGCGGCCGCAGATGCTCCCAGGCTGGCTGCGCCTTTGGGTGCAGCCGGGCCAGGCTTCAGTGCAGCGGGGAGCTGGTGGTGACGTCACCTGTGGCCCAAGGGTCCGGGGATCGGATGATCAGATGATGGGATGATGGGATGGGGAAAGTGATAATCTGATATGAACTGCATGATTTGCCTCGTTTCCTTGGTGATGTCATTTGTTCATATTTGTTCAGAGTTGTTCCATGAACTGCTTTGTAATTCATGTTTGTCATCGCTGTTCATGTGCGGCTGCAATCTATGACTGTTTGCCCTGCAGGTGATCACCTCTGAGCAACTGCAAGGTAGCCCCACGCTTTTGCTGGACCTGGATTTGAACACTTGCAGCGTCAGCGACCTCTTCGAAAGCCAGGGGATTGATGTGGAAAGCGCTGGTGGTGCCACTGGCTTGGTTGGATGGTTTGACCTACACTGTTGTAAGGATCATCCGGATGTGGTCTTGTCTACGTCGCCCAGTGCGCCCAAGACTCATTGGCTCCAGTGTTGGATGCCATTTGACAAAGCCCTGGAGGGAAGCACCAAGTTGCACGTGCAGGTCCAGCTCAAGCCACAGAATTTGGCCGGGTTACCAGAGTTGTGCGTGGTGCTGTCTGATTTGTCTGGTGAGGATCACCATGCGCAGTTCTTCCTGGATCGAGGTGTTGTGGAATACGGCAAGGTCAGAGCTGAGGCGAGAGAATCAGAGCCCAAGAGGCGGAGGCTTGAAACAGAGGCGGGTTGCTGGTTTCAAAAGTTCAAAAGGGTTGGGATCTTTTCGCGTTTCAACTTTCAAGATCTTTCAAGAAGTTAAGATATTTAAGATGATGTTTTCCAACTTGTGTTTCTCCTGCTGCTTGGATTATGATCAACCAACATTCTTCAGGGACCAGTGGCAAGCACCAACCACCAACCAACAGGACATTGAGGCCATTTACTTCCCATCCGATGTCCAAGAGCTCCTGCGACTGGCCCAGCAGGCTGTGAAGGAAGGTGCAGGGCCTGAATTAGCTTGAAATTTGGTGCCAATTGGTGCCATCACCACAACCGGCTGTTGAATGTCCTCCCGGAAGATAGTGGGTGGAAGAGATCGAAGAGATTCCAGCGGCCTGCGATGTCCTGCGCTTTTCCGCTGGGGAGTTCGTGAGAGCATCGATCCATCGCCGTGTGCGAGGATTTTGTGAACAGATGCGAGAGGTGAAAAAGGTGGGACTCACAAACATTCGTGATACAGATGAGTTTCAGTCCGACCCTTTGCTATCCTTTGCTACCAATGTTTGCCCGTCCCAACGTAATGTGTTTTGGGAGACGGTCCTTCAGGTTTCCGCCACCATCTCAGACACCTTCGAGCTGATGGCTCAGCAGTGGTTCACCAACTACCAGATGACATCAGATGATTAAGTTGCCAAATTTTTATCCAAATTCAATACCTTCTGTTCAACAAACGCATGGCCATGGAAACCCACCCTTCATAGATCATATTCCGGCTGAAAATGGGCCTGTCCCTTTCGTAACACCTGAGGCCACTGGCCCCACCAGCAGGCGTTGTGCGAGAGTGGACTCAATAGAGAGCCATTTCACTTAGGACATCCTGGGGCATCCTGGGATGGCAAGTCTATACTGCTTTGTCAGGCATGTGTGCTTTTATAATATGTTACATTAATGATCATTAATGCCTTAATGCCAAGCTTCAACTGGTTTGGCGGATGATTCTCCACTGATAGTGGTCCATGGCAAAATATCTCGAAGTCGATCCTTGGCCAGACCACATGCTCTCCCCGCGGCTGATCAAAAAAAAATTAACAAAGCGGAAGCCCCAGACACAGTTTGCAGAGAGATTGTCGAGATCGGTTTACTTAGTTTACTTCTTGACCCCGTGCTTGGGTGAGTAGGAGTGGCTAAAACTCACACCTTTTTGGGGGGCACAGTTACACTTAGAACAGACTCAATGGGACAAGTCCCCCAAGGCATGTGTCGTATGTGGCAGAGGATGCGGAGCTCCACATCAGACGCTCGGGTTTGATCAGCCACAATGGGCCGTAGGCGAAAAACCAGAGAGAGAGAGAGATATATATATATATAGATAGATAGATAGATATTAATATATATATGTGTGTGTGTGTGGTTGTTCATAGATGATGGCTGCTTACAAGAGATCAAGAGATCATCCAACATTGTCAGATGTTGATAGATGTTTGAAGTGTGCAAACCGCTGGAAGCCCCGGCAAAAAAGAAGAAGTGGTGACTGGGATGTCTGATTAACCTTGGATGGGGTTTCTTGATAGGGCCTTTGCTGCCACTGTGGAGTCCATCTTTGCCCAATGGTAACTGAGGCAATCTGAACTTCCATGTGGAGTCGAGGTGGGTCATGTGTCATCGGAGCAATCTGACACATATCATCTTTACACAAGGCTGCAATGGATCAATGGCATTCCCGTGAGTTGCAGCAACTGCAGGAGTTTGACCCTACTGCCCATGATATTAATTATGCCAATATAATCAATGCATATTAATGCAGGATGAAGCTGCAGCTCATGATCACAGAATCTGTAGACAGCCAACGCCAACAGCAGCCATTTGTTCATGTTTGGGAATCGCCCAGAATGGCCTTCCCACACGGTCAACATCAAATGGTTCTTGGTTCCATCCTGCCAGGGGCGTTCGGAAGGTGCAGCGCATTTTGGTGCATTTTGTTCATACACTTCTGATGCATTGTGATTTTGATTAGTTTTGATTAGTTTTAGTGTTTGCAAATTCAGATCATGTCCTAGGCAGCTTCAGCATTGTTTTAATGCGATGAGATGGCGCTGATAGATGCTCATGGATCTGTATGGGTAGTTTCAAATAGTCTCAAGGCCAATCAGCTTCAATCCGAACAGGAATTGCTGAAGAACATCACTGCGCACGTTCGCAGTGGAGAGGCGTGGGGCTCGTCACATCTCGTCACCACGGTTGAGCGATGCTCGTCACATCTCGTCACTCCGATGTCCCAAGGTGCTGGCGATCATCGGCGGCTCTGGTGCCGGAAAGACGACACTTTTAGACACGGCCCCTTGGATCCCTTGGATCCCTTGGCTGAGCAAAGTTTTAGACATACTTCGTATGCGTTTCGTATGCGTTGCTGACGTGAGAAGTTTGGATGTTGAAAGATGTTGAAAGCATCGCGACTCGTGGGTCCCGGTTTCGGCTTGGCTCTCCGAAAAACACAACCCACGGATGCTGCAGGTGGCGCTAGAACCACGACAGGGATATCGGCAAGGGCAGGTGTTGCTGAACGGTATCAACTTGGTTCGTACCTGAGCTTAGTGAGTATTCTGACATGTGGCACCACAGCCGGGACAACCAGTAATTAGTTTGCCATCGCGTCGGTGTGGCAAATTAAATGAAACGAAAGTAAATAGAAGAGTTCGGACTGTGGAAAGTAATTAGTTTGCCACTCCACTTTCGTCAGTGTACTCCTCCTAGGACCAGGCTCTATTTCGAAAGAGCTGTGCCTATGTTGCGCAGTCGGATGCTTGCTGTCCAACCCTCACCGCTCATGTCTTAGCGCTGGATGACAGCAAACTCTTATGGGACAGTTGGGAGATAGGTCAAAGAACATGACTCTTCTTATCTCTTCTTGATCGTTTGAATCTCTTTGATGGCAATTGAAACTATAAAGCACTGGGCAGTGCAGCAATCCTTCATGCAGAGTTTCGATGGTTCAATTGCATACATCTTTGGGTAGGCAACATGTTGCAGAGATTGCAGTGATCCGAAAACCCCAGCATGCTAGCCCTCTCAGACTATCAGGCAAGTCCTGATTTGATTTGCTCACTGTACAGTAGTAGTGTACAGCTTGACTCCATTGCCTTTTGTTGGCCCAGGTCAAGGAAACGCTTCTTTTTGCTGCTAGCCTCTATCAAGGTTCTGAACAGCGTCATGCTGTTCCCTTTTTTTTGCAGTGGCAAATCTTAATGACAATATATAAGCAGAAGCAACCCCACGGAGTTGTATTACCCGTGAAGTGGCAGATGGGTTCCAATGTATAGGAACCCTGAAAAAAGATGCAGAAGAGAAATTTGAAGTAAATCAACATTTTTTGATGTATTTTTTCCATTTTTTAGGGGTTGCTATACTTGTTGCATCCTTTCTCCGTAGAGACCATTGAGAAATGCACAGGTCGTGAGACCCTGAGCGCACGCAAACGTCACGTCCTGCTCTTGGAAGATGGCTCTTCTTGATGGTGTGTAGAGGTAAAATGATTTCCATATTCGTTTGTATAAGCAAACGGAATGAAAAATACGCATGCATTCATTTAGGGCTTCTCTCTCTCTGTCTCTATGTGTATATGTGTATATCCATGTCTATTGTTTGGCAGTCCTTTGGTTATGTCCATCGCAAACGGCAATCAGCAAAAAAAAGAGATGCTTGCAGCTGGAAACGGGGATTGAACTCTAACAAAACATGGGATACATCTCAGAGAGTGCAAGAATTATGAGCAATGAGCATGTCAGAGGTGGAACGCACGAATGGCACTGTTCCATGAGAATTTGATCTTGCAGCGCCTTTCTTCAATTGAAACTGTGGTTTTGCTACGGAGGTCCAGAATCTTCTGGCAGAGGTGGGCCTAGATTCCTGCCAACACGTGAAGGCAGGGCTTGAAGCAAGGAATCATGAGTAGCTGAGTACTGCTGAGTAGCTGATGGGAACCAACTATAACATCTATAACCAAGTCTTAGCAGCAATTTGCTGCCAAAAAGCATTGTAAAGTCGAGCCATTGCTGCAGGTGGGCGATGGATTGCTGATCCGAGGAGTGTAATTTTCTCAGATCAAAGCCTTAAAGCATGATATGATTGGTGCGCCATGCCACAATAAAAGCCATGGTTATCACAGAGGTCTGGTGGGCAACGGCGACGTGTGAGTCTCGCAGGGATGCCAAACCTGGCGATTTTTCCATCCTTTTCCTTTTCCGGGTTTGGTGATGTCAACGGAAGGCAGGTTCAATTGTGGTGGGGGAGAAGCATGATATCGAGTGATGTGTAATTGAAATTAATTGAACATATACTGTACATATTACAGTACATTACAGTACATATACCAAGAGATCCGATGGCTACATATGACAATCATATGACAATCATATGACTAGATGGACCTTGGAAGTCATCGCCTTCGCAGTCGCTGAGGCTGTTGAGTTGCTGAAGCGACCTTCAGTGCTGGCCGGGATCTCAGGATCTCAGGATCTCGGTACCGTTGGTGTCCAGCAAGACACGAGGTCCTTGATGAGCCCACATCCGGCTTAGATTCGAAGGCTGCTGAGGCCCAGATTCACTGAAAATCACTGAAACATACTGAAGCATACTGAAACTATCAATCCCTGATCTGTAACCATCTGGAACGATTTGTATGTGGCTACAATTGGACCCACTAAATCCGCTAAATCATGAAGACCACCTGGTTCCTCGCAGTTCCGCTCTTTTTTTCGAGGCCATCATCGAGCTCCTTACGGGCCTGTCGGTGAGCAACAACCTGGCGGCGCTTTGTCCCTTGGAACAATGTTGGAACATGTTGGAAAGGTGGAGCTGTGGAGCCAAGGGATGACTCATGGGTGACTCAGATCTTTTCAGTTTCGGATGTTTCGGATGTTTCGGTTGACTCTTGGATCGTAGTGACTGAGGCACGATCCATCAGCCATCATCGTATGTTTTTCAGTTGTTTGGGGCTAAGAGTGGGCTGATGCTGTGAGTGTCTATGTTTTGCAACGTTTGGCCTCCATGGACAATCTCATATAATCTCACAATCTCCCTGTATCTGCTGTATCTCCCCATGTTGCTCCATTTAGAAGGACTAGGTGAAAGTTGTGCAGGTCAGACGGTCACGAGCTGAGCCCTTCAGGTTTGATCGGCTCTTGGTTCTCGCAAAGGGCCGCATTTGCTACTTTGGTGCCATGCTCGGAAATGATGTGCGTTCGATAGATTCGGATAGATGCCGTACATCGATGGATAGATAATCATAGAAAATACTGTAGAAATCTGTTGGACATCCGTTGTGCCAAAAAACATGGTATAAGGTCGGGCAGACGAAGCCCTTGCCCATTTTGACAGCATCGGGTGTGGCCCTAAGAAACTGCCGCAACTGCGTCAAGCGGTGCCACATGCTATGTGCCATGTGCTATCATGTGCTGCAGGTATCCCAGTCAACCTGGAATCAATCCGGCTGAGCCGAGCCCTTGGCACATCATGGCACATCATGGCACATCTACCATGGCAATGGCATTCTACAGCCATTTGACTCAGCAGTGCGATGAGGTTTATGATTCACATCACCAACGCAGACTTTGCGGAAGAGGGGCAGGTGAGGAGCCTTTCAGTTGCTGTGTCAATGCTGGGTGCATCAGAATGGTGATGTCTCCATCGCAGCGGCTGTGATGTTCAGGTGGAACAGATTTGCGACGCCTGGCAAGCAGCGAAGCAGAAGAAGCAGAAGGAGTGCCGAAGCACCAAGATCAACAAGACAACCGCTTGACAGGTCAGTTTTCCGGGGTCTGATCTGATCTGATTTGCTGGAACTTTTGGGAACTTGCCCGCAGGAAAAACCCTGCTTGCCGTGACGGCCCAAGAATCCCATGATGCACTGCATTTGCACCGCCTGCAGCGGCTTGCACCACTGTCAGGCGAACAGAGGTACCACGTACAAAAGCTGGCGCTGGCTTTTGCATCCAGGTGAGACAGCTGCAGATGGAAAACATTGGAAAACTGAAAGCTGATGAAAGCTGTGAAAATACAGCTACAAGATGCTACCAGATGCTACAAGTTACAAATCTCTGGTGGTGATGGAGCAGCGATCAGTGGGATTCCGAACGGTGCAGGTCTGGAAACTCTTCTCACGCTTCGTCAAAAGCAACGTCAGGCGCATTCGTAGCGCGACAGTTTGTGTGGTTTAAGAACTGCTGTCCTTACGCCCTACAGCTGTTTTGCAGCATGCACTTTTACACTAAAGTGTCTCCCTTGAAGTTCTTGCAGCTTGCAGGAGTCCCATTGCTTTTGCTGGACGCGCTGTTTTGCTCTTGCCTTAGTGATGATTGGTTCATTGTCCACAGCCGGTTTTCAGTCATTGAATGTAAAAAAAAGCCAGGCCAGGAATGTTTGTTTTGGGAGCCGGAGGCTTCAAATTGATCGTGTGCACAGAATAAACACGTCAGTCTTGGCTCTGAGATAATTGAGGTGGTACAGTATGGTACAGTATGGAAATATGCTGGCCACACTTCCTCCCAAGCAGCAGCACCCCATGCAGTCCCTGTAGTGCCCAGGACGGCTTTGTTGGTCTCCTTCGTTTGCGTAGCCTACATCGGTGCCCGGAACCGGGACCAGGCGCACCATGACATGCCTTGGCATCCACGGTATCCATGGCCTTTTGTCCCAGGAGAACGTGCTGAACTACCTGTGGGCCATCATGTGGGCCAGGGGCTTGGGATTCCATCGTGAAATGTTGTGAAATTCGTGGCTTCCCCATGTGTTCACACATGTTTCCCGGGTTTTGCTGGTTTCCCCAAAGTGGGCTGAGGTCCAACAACTTCCGGCGTTCCTGTGCATCGGTGCTGTACCCACCTTTGCACGGGAACACGCATGTTTTCGCAAGGAGGTGCCCTTGATCTGGGGAGGCATACAGCAGGAAGCCACAGGGAAATGGGGCCTGAGGGATCGAATTCTGATCGATATGTTTGAACTCTTTTCTGGGTAGATCATAGCGGATCTGGCTATATAAATTTGATGTATTGGTCGGAAGTAAGTGACATGACTCTGACTGCATGAATTAGGTGCGTTTCCCCATGCACAGATGGCCATGTGATGCCATGTGCCTGTATTCACCGCAGCTGTTTGCTGATCAGCAAAAGACTCCCACGGGTGCTCCACAGCCATGTCAGAAGTTGAGGCCCCCATCCAGTGCCGGCATAGATTACATGTAGGGAGCAGCATGCCGGGGGGGAGGTATATGCAGGAACTTACGGCTTTCAAGTTGAGCTTGACGAAATGACTTGAATGTGCGAATGCTGTAAAATACTGTACGATGTTTCTTTTAAGAATTGAGCAGTGGCTGCCTGTAAGTGCATCAAATCTGGATTCTCAGCTCTCTGCCGCAGCCAAGCTGGCCCACAGCTGAGATGGATGTGTAATTTTTTAGAGCAGCCAGGAGACCCTCGGAGACCGTCGGAGACCGTCGGAGACCGTCGGAGACCGCTCACCGGTGCACCGATGGCAGGTTTCCTCCGCAAGTTGACCATCAATGTGGAGAATCTGTCGCAGGATAAATGTGCCTTCGTCTTCTCAGGTGAAAACTTCGAGTCTGGTGGATGGAAAGATCAGAGAACCCAAAGAATCACCGACTTTGCGGCCTTGGAATTAGAAAGCCAGTCCCTATTTTCCGGGCTTTCGGGCTATGTGGTGTTCAGCAACACGGATCATTCCCAGCTGTTGACGATGGCCTTTACAGTGCCCATCACCACGGCACCCTGCTTCTCAGCCACTTGGCTTTCAGCCCACAACATCCGTTGTTTCAAATTCTCTGCCAGTCAGATCAAGCAAGTTTTGGTAATCATGATAATCCAACATGGCTACTGTATGGAAATCTTCAGGAAATCAGTTTTCCTGGCTTTTCCTTGCTTTTCCCAGATGCTCCATTTCCAGGTTATATAGTTAGATTTGGCAGATTTTGGATGATTTTGGTCGCCTTTCCGGGTATACCATGTCCATCATGTCCTTGTTATACCCCGGTCACCGAGGCCCGTTGTGGCGCCTCGTTGCACGGCAAGGACCTGCTTTCGCGGGTGCCCGACCTGGCCCGGCCGGGCACAGGGCTGCGGCGCGAGGCCGGATGCGCCTGGGAGACCCAGGAACTCACCGACGAACACGTCACGGTGCGGCTGGTGGTGCTGCCACCAGAGGGAGCCAAGCTGCCTGCAGCCTGGATGAGATGAGAATTTGTTTTATGATTTTTTTGATATTGAATGATATTATGATATTGATAAAAACATTGATTCACTGGAAAGAAACCAGTTCTGGACATGGTGATTTTGGGGACTTGGTCAATGGCAATCCTTTGGGTTCATTTTCTGGGATAAAGATGGATACATACATATGATTGCGATAGAGAGAGAGAGAGATACGAATCATATGACCAACGACCATGTTTAATGAAGTATTGAGTTATCTGATTTTGACCGATCTCCCCGAGCTGGGGATGCCGAAGTCATACAGAGATTTCTTGAGCCAAGCTGCTGAATTTGGGATCATTTGGGATGTGTTTCATGGTTACAAAAGGCAAGTGTTGTGGCATGTTGTGGCCCGATGGACCCCATGGATCTGGCCGTCCAGGAAGAGTTGGAACGTCGCCTGGCGAAGGCACGCTATTGTCGATCGGTGTTGACGGACCAAAACCAGGCCAGCACAGCGCCTCGCATGACCTTTGTGAAACGACGCATGGTCCTGGAGATTGACAATCGGTCTGAAGCAGCTCGGCACAAAGGTTGCAGTTTAATATATATATATATAGTTTAATTATGAGAATAAGAATGGGAAGAAGAACATGTCTGGATATAAGGAGTTGGTGTTGGTAGTTTGTGTTCGGTGATGAGGTTGCATTTGTGGTGCCGCCGGCTGTGTCACAATGGAATGAGTTTGACCACCTGCATGGCATAGTAGTTGTTTGGAATAAATGTATCAGATTGAGTGAAGAAAGTGTGTCTCAGCTCTGGCTTTTGTAGTTGCAGCCAGCTTGCTGGTTATTACTGCATTACTGTTTGAAACACAGTGTCAACGTACTGCACAGGAGAACATGATCTTGGACGGAGACTTTTTCGACAGCGGCAGCTGGTGCGGTGCCAAAGTGGCATGCCTCGAAACGGGGAAAGTCAGCCGCTTGGAGTTCGCCAGTGACGAAGTCTTCCGCGGCCTTACTGGGCTGATGTGGTTTGTGAGCGAGAAGAGTTTGGACACCTATTTCAGTCACTTGGAGCCATCACAGTATGGGCTTGGTTATTCGGATTATTTACATAGTTTGGTTGGTTGTTTGGTTGGCATATGTTGGTATAGTATAGTTGTAGTGGATGGGCCTGCCATGGTATGCCTGGTTTTCAGAGCGGGCGGATAGCCTTGGCAGTTGAGATGGGCTGGAGGCAAGAATGCGCTCCGGTGCATGTCTTGTTTTGGCGTGTGTTTATTTACCCGAGCTGGATTATTGGGGGCAATTGTTGATAAGTATTAAAAAGGCTGCCCCAAATAGGCCCAAAGAATATATAGCACCTGTTGACCACTTCGCTTCGCCACGCCGAGGCCTGGTGTTTTCTAACCCGCTGACCACTTCAGCCACCTTCAACGCTTGGGCTGGACCACCTCCTGCAGAATTGCTGCAAGAGATGTGGACAGCACCAGCAGTGCCTGCCAAGGGGGTCCAGGTGCCGGGGTCGAGCCATTGGGGTATCATATGGTACCGGACCCATGGGGTACCAATGGACCCACAGAATGGGGTGGAATGGGTGGGTATGGGTTGGTTGATTTTCATTGATGTTCCATAAGTGAAAATTGGGTTCCAATTTTGCCTTGAACCATCCATTTTGGGTTCGATCATTTCGACCCACACCCAGTCAGGGGTAGGAAAGTAAGTCGCCAGCAAGTTTGTTCCTATCTTTCGTCGCGGCCCATGTAGACAAGCTGGCGAGATCCATACCCCAAAAAAGGGTTGTAAGCTCAAGATAGCTCAAGAAACCAATCCGGGGAATCTACTTGTCACAAGAATCTTCTTTGGACAGACAAACATGACCCTCGAGAACTCCATTTTTCTCCCATATCCCCATGTTGCGTTTCCTGCAGCCAGGTTCCAAATGGCCAGGGCTGCGCTTGGAATGTGCTCGAGCATGGCTCCGTGGTCCACATTCGCGTGATCATCCTGGAAGAGTTGGCGCCAATGAACCCAGCGGCATATCCACCACGAGAGGATGGGGCTACGACTCCGGCATCCCCAAGCTCCCCACAAGCAGCTACGGCAGCTACGGCAGCTGCCGCGGCCACTCGGAATGTGTCAAAGACCTTTTCTTTTTCCTATCTCACTATCAGTCATGCACTAAATATGTCATAATATATCATCTTGTTTCATTATATGATATATCATGATCCATCATAATATCACAACATAATAGAATCATAATAATGACAACTATACATATTATACATATTATACATATTATACATATTATACATATTATACATATTATACATATTATACATATTATACATATTATACATACATATATACATATATATATATTACATATATATATGTATGTGTACGGCTTATATCCCCGCACAGGAGGATTCCAAGGCCGCCACGGACACGCATTCCACAGCGATGGTCCTGGCGAAGAGCGAGTCCGAGGAGCTCTTGGCCTCCAATGGCATGGATAAATTCCTGAGCTCCACGAGACCACGAGACGTCTTGGATGGCGTGACGTGGCGATGGTCCTGTGAAAGCTGTGATTTTGGGTGAAATATGATAAAATATGATGGTGATTGATGGTGACTTTATGGTGACTTTATGGTGACTTTATGGTGACTTTATGGGCAAAAGGCCATATGAATTATTATGAAATCAAATTCTTATGGCGCACGTTGTGGGAGAATCATCTAGAAATGGTGAGATGTTATGATATTTTTTGGACATATAAAGAAATACGGTATAGAATCAACAATATATGCTAATTGGATTTGTTTGACAATGGGATATCCCCACTCCATGGCACGATCACTTCTTGGGATTTTGGGGTACATATGGGATGAAGATAGATGATTGAAGGTGTGGTTGAAGTTGTTTTTTGGTGGATGATTAGTTTGAAAGGATTGAACGTGATTGTATTTTTGGGAATCTGAACTTTGATTGTATGTTTGGGTGAATGCTGAAGCATATTATTGTTTGATATTATTTGTTTCAGTTTCTTTTTGGAGATATCGGATTGAAGTTTTCCGCCGATGCTTAGCCCTGTAACCAGAAAAGTTAAGTCCTGAGCTTCGGGCCTCAGTGAATACTGCCTGCGCAAACACTGGCTGGAGATAGGGAACAAAGCATGGGCAAATAGAACAAGTATGGGCAATCCCATGCAATCCAATTGAAGCAAGCGGGCTTTTGCTCTATGAGTGTCGAAGGGGTGGGTCGGATTTTTCTTGCCAGAAGCCACATAAGGTTGGCAGCGGTCTGAAGCTTGCTGGTGCTGGTGTGGTAGCTGGTACTGCAGCACTTATCGCCGCTCCCGTCATTGCAGCAAAGGAGGATGGTGTCACAGGTTTCTTCAAAGGTTTAGCCACCGGTGTTTGCGGCGCCGTCGGCTTGACTCTCGGAGGAGTCGTGGCCGGTGCCACCCAAGTTGCTAGAGGCCTAGTGGTTTCCGGGTCGGGAATGATTGAGAAGGCAATGCAGAAACATGAATTTCGGTTGGATTTGCGTTCATTCCTATCATCAGTTTTAAATTTTGGGAGGCATTGGTGAGACTTGAAACTCCTTGGAACTCCCTGCAGGTATCTACAACACTCCTGAGGCTCTGCAGATGGCTGCCACTGCTAGGAAGCGTTGGGATGCAGAGCAGGGGCTGTGGGTCGATGACTTCTGTTGCTCGTTTGCAGCGTCAGTGTTTTCAGGTGTTGGGTAGAGGATTTGCCCCCAGTACTTCTGGAATCACTAGGAAAAAAGCATGCAGCTGTACATGCTGTACACATATGTGCGCCTATATATTCAATGTGACACTCTATCATAGCGTGTTATACTATGGTATAGATCTATTTAGTTGTATTGTGGTTTTTTCATGTTGTAACATGTGTGTGTGTGTGCACTCGGGTACAGCAATCCTGTGTGCTCGCACATGTGAATCGCTTACGTCTCCAAGGCAACCTCCGTGAGGATTGGGCCAAGGCCGAAACCATGGAGCACGAATCCTCCGACGATGAAGGTGGGGATGATGCCCGACCCAGCAGGAAGGTGGCAGATACCTCCTTTTACGACATCTTGGAGGTGAAGCCCAATGCCACTGCCTCTGAGATCAAGAAAAACTACTACAAAGTGGCTCTGAAATTGCACCCTGATAAGAATCAGAATGATCCTGAGGCCAGCAGAAAGTTTCAGAAGTTGGCCCAGGCATATCAGGTGTTGAGTGATCCCAAGTTGAGGGAGAAGTATGACCAGAATGGAGTCACCTGACCGCAGTGGAAACATGGGGTTGTTTGATGTTGTTGGCACATCTGCATCCACTTTATTAGCCAGCAGATCTTTCGCAAATGAAGAGAAGCAACATATTCCAGCCGAAAGTTGAACTATTGCAAGCCATTGCAGGTTTTCATTGGCCCAAGTGAAAACCTCCAATCAAAATAATCAAAGGTTTTGCGGGGGTATTGTGAGGCGCAGGTTCCAGGAGCCAAAGACTTGTTAGATCTCCAGGGTGTTTTGTGCCGATGACTGGCTGCTGAGGTTGATGCCATTAGCGACCAGGCCCTGCCGAATATCGATCCAGGGCTTCTCACTTACCTTGGAGAGATTTTGCTGGAGTTGTTGGTTGAGGTTGTTTTCTGGAGATTTGGCCGGTGACACTTACTGTAGGCTAGTTAGACTATGTTAGACTGATTTTGGGGAACCTTGTCACCTGCTTTCAACGGCGGTGTTGAGGCTCTTTTTCGGCATGCTCTTTGGAGCCGAGCAGTTTGAGAAGTACATTGGCAAACTCTACTTGGCCATGCAGTCCGATCACATAGCAAAGGACCTGCAGAGGGACTTCGAGAGACATCAAGCAGGACCCGGAAAGAAAGACGTTGTAACACAATGTAATACAGGTATACCGGTATACCTACACATAAAACCGGACAACAACACCTCAACAATGATCTCAAACGCTCTTCTGCTGTCTCTTGCAACATACGTCTGGCAACAAACTCATGTGCTTTTCTTGCGTCCCAGGGACCCACTTGCCACCTGCATTGTTGGAAAAATCATGGTTCCATCACTTTCCTTTAGCGCTTCCCGTGAAGTGGCCTCAATTGCCAACCCGGAGCCTCTCCCTCCGAGAGAGGGGGAGAGAGAGAGAGAGAGAATTAGAGGTGGCAGGGGATTTGGTGTCTCAAGATCTTTGGCCAGGACAGGAATCAGGGCGAGATGTGATTGGCCAGTCCATTGAGCGTGAGATGAAATGGGGTGACAAGAAGATTCGGCGACAGAAGCTTGGCATGCTATGTTCATTCACTTCCTTTGCTTCACTTCCCTCCCAGCTCAAGATGCTAGCAACACTTGATTCGAATTTGCAACCTTAACCGCAGTTCTTGGATGGAGCTTCCTCAGTTTCAGTGGATCGAGCTGTTGCAACTGAGGCAGTTCCATCGAGAAGTGACTTGCGCTGTGCAACTGGTCTCTAGGTTGGACAGATGGGTCATGGGTCGCAACCAAGATGGATGGACTACAGGCAGGGCGCCAAAACCGACCTCACTTTGGTTGATATGGTTGTTTCAAAAATGGCCATGGAGATTGGCCATCCATGGCCATGCTGTTTGCTTGGAATATATTATATACATACTATGTCATTATGTATATACAATAATATCTATCTATCTATCTATCTATCTATCTATCCATCTATCTATCCATCTATCTATCTATCTATCAAACCAAACAATCAATCAATCAATCAAACAAACAAATCAATCTATTCAATCAATCTATCTATCTGTCTGTCTGTCTGACTATCTGTCTAACTGTCTATCAGTCTATCTGTCTATCTGTCTATCTGTTTGTCTGTCTATCTATCTTATCTTATCCTATTCTATTCTATTCCATTCTATTCTATCTATTCTATCTAATCTATCTGTCCGTCTGTTTGTCTTTCTTTCTTTGTTTCTTTCTTCCTTCCTTCCTTTCTTCCTGTCTTTCTTTCTTTCTTTCTTTCGTTCTTTCTTTCTATCTTCCTTCCTTCCTTTCTTTTTTTTCCTTCTTTCTTTCTTTCTTTCTTTCTTACTTTTCTATGTATTCTGTCTATTCTATCTATTCTATCTATTCATTCTATTCTATGTATTCTGTCTATTCTGTCTATTCTATCTATTCTATCTATTCATTCTATTCTATCTATTCATTCAATCTATCTATCCATCTATCTATCGATCTATCTATCTATCTAATCTATCCTATCATGTCCTATCCCATCCCATCCTATCCTATACATACATGCATATAATATATACATATATAATTCATATTTCGCCCATGTTCGCCCAGAAAAGGTGCCATGTGTCCCTTCCAGGTGTCCTGCAGGAGACCGCGGAGTTGGCCCAGGTCTCCTTCGGAGGTCGTTTGTTGCGCACCATCGGCTGGGTCTATGAATGCTCCGCTGATCAGTTCATCGCCAGTTGCTGGGGCAATTTCACCGTGGATGGCCAACTCCAGAGTTGGAAGGACAAGATACTGGAGATACTGGAGTTGAGAACACTTTCACAACATTTCACAACATTTCACAAAAACTCCTTTGTGGTGCAAAAAAATGCAATTGCAGACGTGTGAGTCTAAGTCGAAGTGTTTCATCCTGGCAAGACCCGCCAAAAGTTGTAAGATATTGTAAGTTGATTCTGGCTGATCACTACCCTACAGGATGGAATGCACTCCACGGAGGTGAAGATCAAAGCAATGTCCTCCGTGGCCAAGAGCGGCTTAGCAGTGAAGGAGATGACAGATGCAGCGGGCAGCGGTATGTCAGATGAGGATCAGGCTAAAAGAGATGCTGCAGCCAGGCAAGCTCTGACCTCTCTCGAAGGTTCACTGCCGGTGTTCCTCCAGGCCATTTGGGATATTTCCCAAATGGATATTGAGAGCACTGTCTACAAGGTGTGCGACCGGGCCCTGAAAGACATCAGTGTGCCCTGGCAGATCCGTTACAGAAGAGCCATTGCTCTGAAGCGACTCGGTCAAATCTTCCGTGACGCGGGGCAGGTGGAGCTCAAGGATCTGAACAACGCCCAGATCGCCAAGCAGCAGCTGGAAGAGGCTCTCTACAGCGCCATCCGCGAGAGAACCTGAGCCACGGCCATGGCCGCGTCATGGTGCTGGCACGGCATCCCAAAAGGATCCAACATATCCAACCCATATCCCAAAGAAATCAAAAGAATATCAAACACTCATCAAACAACTCTTTTTTCCTGCTTATGAGCAGCCAGCAGCAATGTCTTGTTTCACCTGGTTTGCTTATCTCAAACAGTGAACAGGAGATAGTCTCAGCTTAATGCGTGTGAAAAAACTCTGCCTAAATTTTTCCAACTTAGAAGAATTTGTCCAACTATCGTTGCAGCGTTGTGTCTTGACTGCGACTTTTCAAAGTGAGGTGCATGTGATCCATGCCAGGAGACATTGAATCGGATCAAAACCCATAGAGGTGTCGGGAGCTTGGAGGGCATCTCTGGAACATCTCAGGGGTTGAGTCCGATGCGGGAATTGCTGAGGTGGTGGGCATCGTGATTGTGAATAGTGATGGGGTCCGCACCTCATGGCAAGCATTGGCAACCCGGGCCACATTCCTTCACGAAAAACTGAGTCGTCAATTTGTCAGAGAAGACTGAGAAGTTGACAAATTAGATCAAATTAGTCTGTTTTGTCAAAGTCTTTTTTTGTTCGGTTTCTACCCGTTACCCGACGTCATGGTACGCCCAGTGATTTCCATGCCTGAAGGCACCGATCCGCACCACCTTGGACAAGAAGCAAACGGAGCAATATGCGGAGTTAGTGTCACAGTTGGCTGCCAAGGCTGGAGAAAACCATGGAAAACTTTGAATGATATAGAATGACACCTGGAATGACCCTGGACAGCTGTCAAAAAATCAGTCCCTCATCGCTCAAACATTCCTAAACTTACTAACCACATCTAACCATCAAATTTGGGGGCACTCGATGGCCTGACACTGACCAAAGCCGTTTCATGTTTGTTTTGAACACTTGCAAGTAACGAAGGTCTTTAGCTTTGTATGGGGAAGATGTGCCAAGTTTTCTCAATCCAGTCCATCACCTCGGTGAGTGCACTATCACAAGTCTATCTCACTCTCTGTAATGTGTATATATGTATAAGTTGTGTGTGTGTGTTTGTGCATATACGCGCATATATATATATATAATTATATATATATACACATACATATACACTCCTGTGGCATAGTAAGTAACCCAACTCAACATCCTACAATCAAATCATGAGACATTTGTCTCCCTCTAGCTGAGGGTGGGTGGTTTCAACCCTTCCGTCTCGCTCCGCAGGCGCGGAGCGTCGTCCGTGACCTGGACCCTATGAATGACCTCACCTTCTTGCGCATCAGGTCCAAGAAGCATGTGTCATGGCAAAGAATGGGACCGTGTTGAAATCTTGACATAGAACACCATAGAGCCATAGCATAAGATACATAAGTAATCTCCAAATAGTATTCCCAAATATTTCAAACTGGTTTCGGAGTTCCCCATGGCTGATAGAAAACTACACCAGGCAGCCCAGCTTAATGGGTCTCCCAAGTTTACCGCAACTGAAGCATATATATATATATAGTATATCTTTCAGAAAACTAGTTGGTACTTACTGTACTGGATTGAGATTCTTCCCTCGAGGTCCTTGAGGCCGCATGTTTTGTCGTTGCATCCTTCTGAATCCAAGGAGATCATGGTGGCACCCGACCGGGAGTACATTCTCATTGTGATCCAGGAGAAGCAAAAAGGTGGAAAAAACCTTGAGATCCAATCGAATTTCACTCTGTTGATGTAAGTAGGAGATAGTAAGAGTACTGCCTTTGGTGACTGCCCTTTGGTAACCACCCTTCCCTTGATGCAGCCCACTTTGACAGGACCCCAACGCAGATCAGGGAACCTGAGAGATGCAGCACAGCATAGCGCAGTCACGAATGTGACGGGACATCGTCGATGCGTGTTGTCACCACCTGATGTATCACAGCTCCAGTCCTGCGCAGATGGGCCGTTCCTCCGGTCCCAAGACCAAGAGAGGTGCGCAGATGAAGCATGCCACTGGAAAGGAGTGAAAGAAAGAAACGAAGGACCAAAAATTGTGTGTAGACTTGGATCAACGCACGAGGTTGCAAGTGTTTTCTCGTTTTTAAGCATCCGTAAATCTATTGATGTCGCAAGACAGCAACAAAAATAGTGATTTGGGATCACAGAGATTGAAACGAATTCTGCCAGGACTGCATTTGTACCTTGAATTCGATGGATGCACGTGGCACCGAGATGCAAAGAGATGCGGTTTCAAGACGTCATGAACCCAACCCATCTGGTCTTAGGGCCACCAAAGTCACTAAAGAAGGTGTGGATGCTATTTTGTTGTTGCACAGTCTACATGTACATATAGCGTTTCTCACACTCTTTACTGTTGCGTGCATGGCTCAAGAAATAGTGCGGCGTATTCGCAGGGTATTTGTGGTAACTAACGGCCCTTAGCCTATTTCTACAGGTTATCAGCCGTATCGCTAAGCGATCGCTGGTTTCCTTTTGTCTCGCACTTTTCGTTCTTTCTCTGTAGCTTTCGCAATGGCTTCTACCCCCGCGCTCCCTGCCCTGGGCGGGAACGCCTCGGCTGCTCTGGCCTTAGCGAACCCTACACAACCGGAGGAAGTGGTGATCCACTCAGGTGCGGCTACTACAACAGAAGGCGATATGAGTTACTTGGATGAAGAGTTTGACCCATGCCGTCAAGATCCACGCAGGAACATGCCAGGTGTCTTAGACTCAAGCGTTGAAATCAGTCAGCTCAATACCATCAACTTTAACACTGTTGATCAGCGTACCGCCAATGTGGCAGTGGTACAACAGGGTATTGATCCGAACCTGGCGAACCAACTTATGGCTGCTCAGCAGCAGGCATTGCAGAGTGAGGCAAATGTACGTCACTCTGAGGTCATGGAACGTCAACGTATGGAGCTTGTGAGTGAAGCTCGAGATCAACTTGCAAGCGTCGAACAACAAGCAGCCGAAGAAATTTCCAGGAGAAACCTTTTGTTGAACGAGCAGGCCGCCCAGGCGATGAGTGAGCAGAAATCTGCTCAACTGCAGGTCACAGCGCAGGATCATCGCATCAGGGAACTGAGTGCCGAACTGACTCAGGTGGTCAACAATGCAGGTGTTTTGACATCGTCTGCGGAGAAGTCCAATGCTGATCTGCAGGCAGCACGTTCAGAACTTGCAGAGTACCGCACTCAGATTGATGCAATGAATCAACACGCTTTGAACATGCATAAGCTGGCCGAATCTCAGAAGAAGGACTTCGAGGCGGAGATTGAGAAGCTTCGGAAGGAGCAGAGAGAGCTCATCCGGAATCTAAAGTCTCAACCTCTGGAGGGAACTCCTGGACTCATGATCCATTACGGTCCCGGAAAACCCATTCCACAATCCTCGAAGCCCAAGGGTCCAACCATTGAAGAGTTAGCTTCGGGAAGCAAGAAGCCTCAGCATTCATCAGATGCTGACGATGAGCATTTTCAGGCAGAACCTTGAAGCCACCGGGACTTCCCGGCGGTGGACCTCCAGGAGATGACGGTGATGATGACTATGACGACAAGAGAGGTCGCAAGACAAGAAAGACAAGAAGAAGGACCGCAAGACTAGTCGTGGCCGTTCGCGACGACGACGTCGAAGAGATCCTTCATCCTCACCTTCATCATCAACATCCCCTACGACGTCAAGTTCGGATTCTGAGAGTTCCTTTGCACGAAAGGTCAAAAGGGCCTTAGAGCGTTCTAGGACTACTGATACTAAGGCCAAAGAGTCTGATAGGATCCTTGTACCTAAGTTCCCTCAACCCGAAAATTATAGGAATTGGAGAATCCGAGTAAGGGATGCCATAATTGCTGCTTCTGCTAAACCCGACCTAGCTTTTCAGTGGGTGGAGGAAGTGTTCAGGACAGACCAGTCTGCCGATGCCTTGAAGGACTCAGGTAAATTCGTGACCCTGGACGCAAAGCTCATGTCTTCGCTCACCAACATCTGCGAAGGGGACTTTGCACGGCAACTTGACATCTTTAAAGAAGAACAAGCCAAGTCAGGGACACCAGCTAGGGGACGTCAAGCATTGCTCATGATTCATAAACACTTCAGTACTAGTAGGAAGCATGGTGCAGTGTACGACATTGAGGACCTCATGGCTGTTACCTTAGTCAATGATGATCTCAGAGGTTTCATCACTCGATGGGACGCTGTGATCGCTGGAATGACTTCCGAGCCTGACATGATGTGGAAGCAAGCCTACTTTCACAACGCCATCAAGAACTTCAAGCCTCTCTCTCATGATCTGGCTGTGTATGATCGCACACCGGAGGGGGAACCCAACCGCTCTTATGATTTTCTCATGAAAGCGGCAAGGGACTACCTTGAGAGAAGACGTCTTGAGAAGATGCGCCAGGCAACCAAGAAGTCCGTTTCAGGTAAAAGAGATGCAACGCCAGCACCCACGAGACCTACGTCCACGGGAAAGCCCACTGGCATTTGCTACGACTTCCAGGCTGGCAAATGTACCAGGGGAAAGGATTGCCGATACCGACATGAAAAGGCAGACAAAGGAAAAGGCGGAGGTAAGAAAGGCAAGTCTAGGTCCAAGTCTAGGGGCGATGGTCGATCCTTGTCTCCCGGATCTAGGAACCAAGTGTGTAAGTTTTGGAAGGCAGGTAAGTGTCAGCGAGGTAATGACTGTGCTTTCCAACACCCACCAAAGCCTGCAGCTGCATCTACCAAAGATGACAAGCGTGGAAAGAGCCAGAAAAAGAAGAAGAGGAATAAGAAGAAGAAGGGCGATCGCTCCAGATCGTCAAGTCGAGGTTCCAACTCCTCGAGAGGCTCACAGAGTCTCAAGGACAAAGGGGGAAAACCATCTTCCTCTGGCTCAGCTGCAGTTTGCCTGATGCGCGCTCTGATGATGGTCGCAGTCGTCAACCCTTCGACCAGCACTCATCGCGTGCCGGAAGGCATTGCCTCTCCGCATTGTTTCAACCAGCATTTTGCCATGCCAGTTACACCCAATCGCACTGTTTCATTTGGGGGCAACGATGAAATCTTCGAAGTTCCCATCGAGCAAAATTGTAATTTGTATCCGTGCCAAGCCAAACAACGAACTTTCAATCCAGTTCGCATCACCAAGGACGATCGTACTCGTAAAGATACGATCGAAGCACGAGAAAGTGATGCAATACTTGCAGCACAGATGTTGCAATCAGCTGTCTTTCGGGAGTTGCATGGTAAACTTTGCAAATGCAGCTTTGAATGTGACAGTGATATCGGCTGTCGCCACTGCATCCGTTCCGATTTGAACGCATTGCCAGGACACATGCCTTCTCAGCAGCGTAATGCATCCGCTGAAATCGCATGGATCGCTGACACCGGTAGTGCCCAGGACTTAGTTTGCAGCAAGATGATTCCCGATGACATTGTGTATCACTCTCATGAACCCCTTGAATTAATCACCGCAAATGGTTCTCAATCAGCTGACCAACAAGCTTCTGTTCATATTGATTGCATCGACAAAGAAGTTCATCCATATGTTCTTCCTGATACCCCGGCTGTAATATCGGTAGGGATGAGGTGTATTCAAGATGGATGGGATTTTGTTTGGAAGAGTTTTAGTCGCCCATATTTCAAGAAGAAAGATGGAACTAAGATCAAACTTGAAGTCAAAGATTTTGTTCCTTATCTACCATCAAGAGATGGCCAGGTACCCGCTGCAGTAGGGATTCCGTTTTCATGGGACTCCGCAGCCGGGAACGGCAAGCCTATCATCTCACCTGTTCGAAGGTCTCGCATGTCAGCTGTCGGCACTGAGTCTGAGGACGAAGTCCAAGAGGTCGAAGAACTGTATGAGGCTTCCATCGCAGACGATGATGAAGTTCCTGGACATGGTGACGATAGTCTCGAGGAGTTCTTCCCTGGTGAACTTGCGCCAGGACCTCCAGCAGCCATGACGCCAGAAGGCGATGTGGGTTCGGAAGATGAAGCCGAAGCTCCTGAAGAACCAGTTGACGGTCGACTTCAACTGCCTGAACCTCAACCAATTGATCGCGGTGAAGCTGCACTTCGAGAGGAGGCCAGGACCCTTAGGCACATGATGACACACACCCCGAAGAATCCCTTTTGTGAAACATGCAAATGTGCAAAGATGTACAAACCTACTAAACGTAGCAAAGGGGAATCTTTGACTGTGGAATCCAACAAGTTTGGGGATCACATCACTGGGGATCATCTTGTGACTAGGGATGCCAACGAACAATCAATTGATGGTGATAGGGTTGCGATGGTCATGAAAGATGTCGCTACGAATTTTCGTTGGATTTATCCTTCCGCTAGAAGTCATGCCAAGGATTGTGTTTTAGCTCTTAGGCATTTCATTGCGCCTGGTGAAGAAGTCGGAGTGTTTTATTCCGATGCAGCGCCATCCATCAAGCTCGCTTGTCGGGAAGTTGGGTGGAGGCAGAACACTAGTGTTGCTTATGTCTCTAAGTCGAACGCAGTCGCCGAGAGGAATCTCAGGTCCGTACTTGAAGGGACTAGAGTAAACCTTGAACAGGCAGGGCTTCACCATTCTTATTGGAGTTATGCTGCACGACATTGGTGTATGGCACACAACATCCAGGACCACCCTGAAATCTTATCTCCCTGGGAGCTTCGTTTTGGGGAAAAGTTCAAGGGACCCAACATTCCTTTTGGGGCCCGCATTGACTATTGGACTGGACCGAAACTCAAACCCAAGAAAGATTTGCGTTTTGACCCAACTTCAAATCCAGGTGTCTTTTTGGGATATGCCATGCAACCGGGTTTCGTTTGGAGAAATGAATTTCTTGTAGCATCATTGAAGGACCTCATGGAAAAGGAATTCAAC